GTGATTTACCCCAGGGGAGGAGGGTCCCTGTACAGTGTGATTTACCCCAGGGGATGGGGGTCCCTGTACAGTGTGACTTGCCTGTGCCCAGTAACCCACCCCACTCCCCTGGGGGTCTGTCTCTGGCTGTGGCTCTCGGTTTGCTCTGTGTCTGTTGAAGTTCTCAATGGATGGGCTTTCTCACTGACTGATGAAAAGAAAGGACGAAAACACATTCCATTAACAACCCTGGGTCATCTCAAAGTTTGGAGAGCCTAATGCATTACTATAATCACTGTGGGAAAGACTGAAATCAATTTGCATACAGCAAATTCCATTATCAAAGCAATAATAACCAGCGAATCTGCTTTTGTAATTTTAACAACTATTTTGCAGGCATCACAGCCTGGGCCAGCATTTGTTCCCCATCTTATATGCCCCTTGAGAAAGTGGTGGTGAGCCATATTCCTGAATGCTGCAGTCCAACAATCTAACCACCGCCCCTTGACATTAAATGGCATTACCATCACTGAATCCCCCACGATCAGTATCCTGTGGGTTATCATTGACCAGAAACTCAATTGGACTCACCACAATAATACAGTGGCTACAACAGAAGGTTAGGGGCTAGGAATTCTATAGCAAGTAACTCACTCCCTGACGGTCTAAAGCCTGTCCACCATCTACAAGGCACAAGTCAGGAGTGTGATGGAATACTCCCCACTTGCCTGGATGAGTGCAGCCCCAACAACACTCAAGAAGCTTGACACCATCCAGGACAAAGCAGCCGCTTGATTGGCACCAGATCCACTCCTTCCACCACTAACGCTCAGCAGCAGCACTGTGTACTACCTAGTCAGTGCACTGCGGAAATTCCTCAAAGCTTCTTAGACAGCACCTTCTAAACACAAGACCACTTCCAACTAGGAGAACAAGGGCAGCAAATACATGGGAACACCACCCTCCAAGCCACTCACCCTCCTGACTTGGAAATATATCCAAATATTTGCATCCAAATCCTGGCATTCCTCTGCTAAGGGCATTGTGGGTCTACCTGTGGCACATGGGCTACAGTGGTTCAGGAAGGCAACTCACCACCACCTTTTCCAGGACAGTTTGGGACATGCACTAATCGCTGGTTCAGTCAGCAATGGCCATGTCCTATAAGTGAATAAAAACAGGTCCGCACGCTCTAGGTTGACCCACAATGCCCATGGGGAGGGAATTCCAGGATCTTGACCCAGCTGACGGAACGGGAATATATTTCCAAGACAGGATGGTGAATTCCTTGGAAAGGAACTTGGTGCTGGTGTTCCTGTGCCAGGAGGAATGCCCCTGCTTTCCTTTGAGCTGGGCATGTGGCATCTTTTGCAACTACCTAAGAGGTGTGATAGGTGTCTGTTTAAAATCTCAATCAAAGTCAGGCACCTCAGACAGTGCAGCACTCCTTCATTACTACTTTGGAGTATCAGGCCAGGCTGTAGTTTTATTCGATAATGGGTGTTCAGTGATAAGAGCGGTATTTATTGCCCATTCCTAATTGCTCTTGAGAAGGTGTGTGTGTTCATGTTGAAGGAAGTCAGAAGTCACATGACACTGATGAAGGAGCAGTGCTCTGAAAGCTTGTGTGATTTCAAATAAACCTATAACCTGACTTGGTGTGACTTCTGTCTTTGTCCACCTCAGTCCAACATGTGCACCTCCACATTATTGAAAGAAGGGCACAGGACATTGTCATATTGTCATGTGCTGCTAGGTTCTCATTTCATGAGCATTTTGATTAATGATGGTACCAAAGTTGAATTTAGTGATGCAAAATGGATGGGCTTGTTGGACACTTCCTGTCTCTAAAGCTTCTCATGCTGTTCTCTCGGTTTCATTGCAGCTACAGAATCTGGGACCATTTACTGTTGGCCATTTGCTGGTCAAAGTGACCATCCCAACATTAACCAAAGGGAACAATCTCCTCCTGATCCTGACCAATAACTCCACCAGTCCGGTGAGTACAGAGAGCCGCACTGTTGCTGAGTGCAAAGGGGTTCTTGAGAGCGATGGTCCATCAATGAGAGGGGCCCTAATGGTGACACTCTCTCTACCATGGGGATTCCACTAACGCCATTCCAACTACCGAAGGTAACACTCCTTTTCAATGTTTGGGATGCTGTTGGTAACTCAATGAGGGACAAATAGGCTTCCCAATGGTGAGTTTCACTCTTCGAGAAAGGGTTTGATATGTATTTGATATTTACAGCAGAGAAAGAGGCATTTCGCGCAGCAGAATCGCAGAAGTATTACAGCACAGGAAGAGGCCATTTGGTCCATTGTACCTGCATTGACTCATTAAATAGGCACTGTTACCTCATGCCAATCTCCTGCTTTCTCTGGATACCCTTGCACACTATTTTTTCCAGGTAATCATCCAATGCTCTCCTCAACTGAACAACCGGTCCATACTAGTGACATTCCCTCTTAATGAGACTGATGTTGATGGTAAAACTCCTTACCAGGAGAGCGATCTCTATGAAGGATTTTCAGATGATATAATCCCCCTTAAATCTGATGTTTTATACATTATATCTGCAAGACCCCTGCACATAATATTAACAAACACTGTTATGTGTTGTTAACATGAAAGCTTTATCTCTCTTTTTCTTATCAGTTCTGTTCCTTATGTTCCTGACGGGGCTGATTTGGAGGGGGCACACGAAGGATTATTTCAACCTGGGCAGTGAGTGTCACCAGGCCATTCAACCACTGAGGCAACACATCCTCCCAATCCCATTCTCAGCTGACATCCATTCACCCAACTGAGTCACTAGTCAATGATCAGCAGGACCCACTCCCCTAACCAAGTATGGTGCAAAGCTGGTTTAACTGGATGGTGCAGAGTGGTCATGCCTTTATGCTTGCTGTTCAAACCTTGCCCAGAATGGGGTGCTACAGTGGTTCTGAGTGAACCAGCTTCAGATACTGGACTGAAAACAACAAATGCTGGAGATCAGAGCGGGTCAGACAGCATCCGTGGACAGAGAGCAAGTTAACAATTTGATTCTAGATGGAAGTGAAATGTGGAGGGGGTCAGCATTTATGCTATAGTTGGTGGGGGGTGGGATGGGGTGCATGATATTTGCTGCACACAATGTGGCCTACTCTACATTGGAGAAACCAAACGCAGACTAGGTCACTGCTTTGCAGAACACCTCGGGTCGGGAAGACAGCCTGACCCCATCCTTCCCTTAGCCGGTCATTTTAACACAGCGTCCTGCTCGCACACCCACATGTCTGTCCTTGGCATACTGCAGTGCTCCAGCGAATCACAGCGCAAACTGGAGGAACAACACCTCCCCTTCAGACTAGGCACTTTACAACCTTCTGGAGTCAATATTGAGTTTGACACCTTCAAATCGTGAACCAACTCCCTTTCCTTCCCTTTCTTTTAGTTCAACTTGTTACATTCTCTGTCACCATGTCCTCTCTCCCCTCCTCCATCTCAGTGGGACTGTCTTCTCTTTCCAGTCTGGCAGTCGGACACACCATTGTTCTGCCATTCTCACATTCCGATCACTTAACCCGAACTATCAACATCTTTTCTCCATCAGCACTCTACACCCCACCACCACCTCATTCCACCGCCCACCGCGCGCCCCCCCCCCCAAAAAAAGTATAAATGCTACCCCCCTAAAATTCACTTCAGCTCTGATGAAGAGTCATCTAGACTCGAAACGTCAGTGTGCTCTCTCTCTCCATGGATGCTGTCTGACCTGCTGTGATCTCCAGTGTTTGTTGTTTTCAGTACAGATCTAATTTGCTCCTTCAGATATTGCCAGCTCAGTTGCCAAAGGCGCAATAACCAATTGCACAAAAGCCACACTCAACCTTTCTGACAGGCCACCGTTATCAGGAGAAGATAAACTTCCTTCAGCTTCTGTCAACAATGTGGGGTCAGGATATTAGAAAGTCTGCAATGTTCTGTTCACATTGAATTTACAGGCGGTTCAACTCATCATCTGTGCTAGTGTTTATGCTGCATACAAACCCCTTTCAGTCTTACAGAATGTCACCCTTTCAGCATCAGTACCCACTCTTTGCTCCCTTGTTTACTTGGAGACGTGGAATTCTACAGCACAGAAGTGGCCCTTCAGCCCATTGTGTCTGTAACCCTGTAAATTCTGGTCCTTCTAGTACTCATCTAAATACTATTTAAATGTTGTGATGGCTCCTGCCTCTACTACCTTTTTAGGCGGTAAATTCCAGATACCCATTAGCCTCTGGGTGAAAAAATTCTCCCTTAAATCTCCTCTGATCCTTTCACCCTTGACCTTAAAGCTATATTCTCTGGTTATTAAGCCCCCTATTAAGATGAAAAGTTTCTCCCTTTCTGTACTCCTCATAATTGTGTCCACCTCAATCGGCCTTCTCTGCTCTAGAAAAACAGTGCAGTGACATCCTTCCCCTTTTAGCTTCTGCGCTGTTTGCATCACCACCTGGTACCCACTGTCTGGTGTTCTCTTCCACCTCTGTGCTCCTCTTTCTGCTGTTCCAAACACCTCTGCAGAACCTCAATATGTTTTCACTCATCTCCTCCCAGTCTCTTAACCAAACTGCTCAATAGTCAGTCTCTCCGATGTGACACCTTGACACTTACAGCAAAGCTGCTGTCATGTTATGATGATGATGGTGTTTTAGTCCTCACACTCCTGTATCTATTTACCTTGTTGCTGTGTTTGATACCTTGCAGCAAGATGGGATCCAGTGTACTTTAGCCGGTCACACAGCTCTCCAGCAGTGGCTCCCTCCGAGAGGACAAGTTGTCACAGAGGATCTGAGGACTTATGAGAAACTGGTAATGAGGCATTTCTTTTTCTGTAAAATCTGAACTTTAATGTGAATACGAAACTGTTTGAAGTCAGAGCCTTTGATCTTAGCCAGGGACTTTCATCTGTTTATAAAGAGGAACATGCTGTAAACAATTTATTTTCTAATCCTTCTGTCATTCATTTCCCATGTTCAGGTTATCGTACACTCACTGTATCATTGCTTCCCGCTTCTTCCTCTAGAGTCACTGACTCTAATTGTCTGTCCCTCCAGTGATCACATTACATGCCTGTTATCTCGTGTTAGCCCATCATCATTCAGCCTCCCACATACACAGCCCGACCTCTGACAAGGATCAGGTATAGGTATGCTGACCAACATCCCACCCATGGGTGCTGTGCCCAATTGGAGTGTGCCCCATTGACGCACACCCTCAATGGGGAACAGTTATTAACAACAGCACAGTGCATGAGATTTCACTGTGAGATATTCTGTCTGCTCTCCTGTGAAGAACTGTGTGTGCTTTGCGACATTAATGGTGCTATATAAATTCAGTTGGTTATTGTTTTGGAATGCTTAATGCGTTCAAGTGGAATTCTTCTCCCAACTTGTTAACACTGACAATAATCCAGATAAAATATTATTCCACAGGATACCTTCACCATCTTTACAGTTATAATGGAAAATGAATTTTCAACTGGCCTGTCACATCCCTTTCTGATTTATGAGCTCCACGTTCTAACCATTTTCTTAGCCCATTTCATGAAGTTACATTGTCAGAATTAGGGTGTCAATCATTTCTTGCTGAGATGAGGAATCTTCTGAATCTTCATTCAGAAGGTTGTGAATCTTGGCAATTCTCTACCCCACAGGACTGTGGATGGTCCACCATCGATTAATGTTAAAGCTGGAAGCAACAGATATTTGGCCTGTCAGAGATTAGGTCTGAAAAAAAAGTCGATCGTAATCGCACTTTTTTAAACATTTATTCTTCCATGGAATGTGGGTGTCAATGCCTGGGCCAACATCTGTTGCCCTCTGAAACTGACCAGCTTGCCATGTCATTTCAGAGGGGAATTAAAAGTCCACATTGCTGCAGGTCTGGAATCACTTGTAGGCCAGACCAGGTAAGGGCAGCAGATAAAACGACTGCAGATGCTGGAAATCTGAAACAGACACTGAAATTGCTGGAGAAACTCAGCAGATCTGGCAGCATCTGTTGAGAGAAAGTAGATTTAACATTTCAAGTCCTTTTTTGGTTCACTCGTGGGATGCGGGGGTCACTGGCTGGGTCAGCATTTATTGGCCGTCCCTAGTTGCTCCTTGAGAAAGTGGTGGTGAGCTGCCTTCTTAAACCACTGCAGTCCACATGTTGTAGGGAGACACACATTGCCCTTATGGGGGAGGGGGATTTCCAGGATTTTGACCCAGCGACATATTTTCAAGTGGGGATGGAGAGTGGCTTGGAGGGGAATTTGCAGGGGTTGGTGTTCCCATGTATCTGCTGCCCTTGTCCTTCTACATGGAAGTGTTTGTGGTTTGGAAGGTGCTGTTTAAGGAGCTTTGGTGAACTCCTGCAGTGTATCTTGTAGATAATACACACTGCTGCTACTGAGCATCGGTGATGGAGGGAGTAAATGTTTGTAAGTGACCCTTCTTCAGAAGGGTCTTCCTCCCTAAAAGGACATTAATGAACCAGATGGGTTTTTACAATAAGCAACGATAGAGACAGGGTCTAGAAATGAGTTTCAGATTTTATTAAGAGATAGTCCCAGGTAGACAGGATAGTGAAAAAGGTGTTTGGTACGCTTGCCTTTACTGGTCAGTGCATTGAGTATAGGAGTTGGGAGGTCACGTTGCAGCTGTACAGGACATTGGTGGGGCCACTTTTGGAATACTGCATGCAATTCAACGTTGTGAAACTTGAAATGGTTCCGAAAGGATTAACAAGGATGTTGCCAGAGTTGGAGGGTTTGAGCTACAGGGAGAGGCTGAATAGGCTGGGGCTATTTTCCCTGGAGTGTCAGAGGCTGAGGGGTGACCTTATAAAGATTTGTAAAATCATGAGGAGCATGGATAGGGTGAATAGACAAGGTCTTTTCCCAGGGTGGCGGAGTCCAAAACTAGAGGGCAAAGGTTTAAGGTGAGAGGGGAAGACTTAAAAGGGACCTAAGCGGCAACGTTTTTACACAGAGCGCAGTGCATGTATGGGATGAGCTGCCAGAGGAGGTAGTGGAGGCTGGTATGACTACAACATTTAAAAGGCATCTGAATGGGTATATGGATTTCTGAGGGAGTGTCTAGGCCCGAGGCGTCGACCTTCCTGCTCCTCTGATGCTGCTTGGTCTGCTGTGTTCATCCAGCTCTACACCTTGTTATCTCAGATTCTCCAGCGTCTGCAGTTCCTACTATCTCTGAATGGGTATACTATTCGGAGGGATATGGGCCAAATGCTGGCAAATGGGACTAGATTAATTTAGTACATCTGGTCGGTATGGACAAGTTGGACCGTAGGGTCTGTTTCCATTCTGTACAGCTTTATGACTCTCCAACTCTATTATAAAAATATTGTGACTGTCATGGTGGGATTTGGACTCCTTGCCCAGAGCATTACCATGGCCTTCTGGTATACTGGACCAGTGAGATTATCACCAACGCATCTCTCTACTGAATGACGAAGCTGACCCAGAAAGCCAGAGAGTCTACCCTTACTGCTACTTGTTGTGTTCCCACCCAAAAGATATTTAATTGCATCTTGAATCCACTTTTCACCAGCTGTACCCCCTGCTTTCCGCTGCTCCAGTCATGGTTACCGGTACCTTACTGTAGAAATTATCATGCTGTAGGAGCCCTTCACTCCAGTGAGTATTCCAAATAGGATTACAGTCAAATTGTCTTGCTAACATCCTGGAATAAAATTCCACTGATCAGGCTGTTACAACTGGCCTTTAATCCTGGTATCTTGACCTCAGATTCCTCAGGAGAAAACCCAGGCAAGGAAACTGCATCTGTTAGCAGCGGAGCCCAAAGATACAGTGGGGTATTCCAATTTCAATCCGGAAGTTGTTACAATCAATAACTCACCGCCCATAAGGGCAGTGGAAATAAATTCAAATGTAATTTTCAAACGGGAAGCAGATACGTAGTTGAAAAGGAAAAGAATGTGCAGGATAGGGAGCAGAGGAGAAAAGATTAATGAGAAAGCTGTTCCACAGAGCTGGCACACCCAGTGCAAGGCCATCTGTGCTAATGTTCAATAAAATTTTGAAAAGTGCATATGTATAGGTGATTGGTTGGTGGGGGTGTGGGAATGTAATTGGTGGCTGTGTGTGCGTTTGGATATAATTGAGGATGTGTGAGGAGGGAATGTGCGTGCATGGGTGTCTGTGTGAGGGTGTGTGTTCGTGTGAATGTCCATATTCAAACGTGGCTGTGAGCATCTATGAGTGTTTGTGTGTGAGTAAGTGAGCAAGCATGGGAGAGTGTGAGAGTGTGGTTGGGAGAGAGCATGTAGTTATAAGATAGTGTGGGAGTGAGTTTGATGATATGAGTATGACAGTGTGAGGTCATGAGTGTGAGAGTTTCAGTGTGAGGGCACAAGTGTGAGTGTGTGTGAGTGTGGTTGCAAGGAGGGGTCTGTCTATTCAGAATGGCTGAAGCTAACAAACACAGAAATTGCTGGAGAACCTCAGCAGGTCTGGCTGCACCTGTGGGGAGAGAAACAGGGTTAATTTTTTGAAATGTTAACTCTGTTTTTCTCTCCATTGATGCTATCTGACCTCCGGAGTTTCTCCAGCAATCCTTGTGTTTGTTGGTTTCAGATATCCACCATCCGCAGTTTGTTGTTTTATTTGATAATTATATTGAGGATAGCTGTGGTGCCTTCAACAGCAGGACTCTGCTTAACTGGACCTGGTCACGGGAGACACAGAGTGGGAGTAGCGGGATTGGGGATATCCTGTTTTCTGTGGAATTGCACCCAGAGCCTAACCCTTGACCTTCAGGAGCTCAGAAAGGGAAAAAAAAAGGGAAGAGGAAAGAAGCTAAAAATAGAAGCCTCAGATGAGACAAGATCATTTACCATTAAAAATGCTTTCTCTCCTTGTAAATATTTTTATGATGAACTCATGCCAGAATCTAAACACTACTCAGAATCTGTAATCTGTTAGAGTTGTCTAAACTTCCGCTTAATGCGTGATCTTCAAAGGCTCTGACAGAAGACTACTTATTACCCTTCCGCTCTAGTCTCAATTGATGCATTTCCTATAGTCTGTGTTCACACGGCGAGTCCTAACCTCCAATATTTATGATTTAACAGGATGCCAGCAACTCTCAATTTAATCTCCTGTTGTGTGACGTGAGGAATTTTAAAACCAGTGACGAATACTCCGTTCACATTTCTGGCAGACTCGCAACTGATTCACTGATGGCAGTAAGTACATAATCCACCCCTTCGCAAATTCTTTCAGTCTACACCACCCAGGTCTATCCAAGGCTTGGCCTTTCTCAGTGGGAACCCTGTAATTGTGCACTCATGTCGGAAACATCTTGTTTCGTTGTTGGTGATATCTGTCCTCACTCGCACCTATCAGCTCTGGCTCTTTGGTAAAGCATTATCACTTCTGATTGAAGATGGTTTGGGCTTCTAATCCCAGCTGACCATTCATAGAATCCCTACAGTGTGGAAACAGGCCCTTCGGCCCAACGTGTCCACACCAACACTTGGAGCATCCCACCCAGACCCATCCCTCTATAACCCACCTAATCTACACATCCCTGAACACTATAGGGGAATTTAGCATGGCCAGTTCACCTAACCTGCACATCTTTGGACTGTGGGAGGAACCTGGAGAAAACCCACGCAGACACGGGGAGAATGTACAAACTCTACACAGCCCGAGGCTGGAATCGAACCCAGGGCCCTGGTGCTGTGAGGCAACAGTGTTAACCACTGAGCCACCATGCCACCCCAGCTGATGTTCCCAGTGTCATACTGACTGAGTGCTACACAGTTGGAGGTGCCACCCTTCAGAAAGGACAGAAAGTTGAGGTCCTATTTTACTGTCAGCTAGAAATAAGATCTCCTGCTCAGTAAAGGAGCAAAGGAGGGTCTCCAGGGTAGCCTGGCCCTCTATTTATTCCCCAATTACATGGTTTGATCATCCGGTTGCTGTTTGTGGGAGCTTGCTGTGCACAAATTGGCTGCCACTTGTCCCACATTACAGCAACGGCCACAGCTCAAAACTGAAGGAACTGTAATGGAGGCCCTTAGGATTGAAGATGACTTCCTCCTGCCATAGTTCTGAGGTGGCTGAGAAGACCAATATCTGACCTGCAGACTCTGTCACATGTGGAGCATGTGGTCCATGAAGAGTTGGGTAGAGGAGTTATTTGGAGGTCTGTATGCTCCCTCTCTCAGCTCAGGCTCACCTCTGCACATTCCCAACAGAGTCTCTCAATGTGTTTGGTGCCTTCCCAAATGACAAGCCAGGATATTCGAGAGAGTATTTGAGGACCAGGATCTGTAACCTGAGACTAAGCTTGTGGTTTACTGGGTAACAGTGATGTCAGTGCTCCAACTGGCTGCAGAGACTTCGACAGAAATGCTTCCAGTGGTGCCTTCACAAAGTCCGACAAATCCAGAGGCAGGCAAGATGGTCCCAAAGCAGCACCACGCCTTGATACAACTTGTCCAGGACTGAGGCCTGACATACTCCTAACCAGCTCCAAATGGCAAGGTGTGGTGTTTGCAATCTGAAACTAACCTCCCGAAGGAACTGCTCCAAACTGGGGCTTGGTGATGGCAGGACAAGAGCAGAAACTATTTAGGGATCTCCTTGAAACTTCCCTGATGAGACTCCCACTGAGCCATGTGAGACCCTGGCTTGTCAGTGAGGCAAATAGAGACAGAAAGTTAGCTCTAAAGAGCAGAATGCCTTGAGATGGTGAAACTTGTCAGGTAATTGAAAGTCTTTCCTTTGCACCAGCCTGAGCAGGATGAGAGTGGGCCTCAGTTTAACATTTCATCCTAGAGACTGCAGCACAGGTACCATCCCATTCATAAGGAGCTGTCTCTAGAGTGGGAGTCAGATCTAGAGGCAGGAGTAGAGTGGGAGTCAGATCTAGAGGCAGGAGTTCTGAACCTGTGTGTGGACTTCAAGCTTCAACTCAATTCCTAAATATCAAACTGTAAAAATCGTTGGGAGTTTCACACAGAACCTTCAGATAATCTCATTTCAGGATAATTTCAGAGGGGCTAATGGTGCCTGGGATTGATTTACATCGCAAATGCTTTCGAGACAAAGCCACATGAAGTTGCCTTGCAAACTGTGTATCATTATTGCACTGTTGCAGAAACAAGCTTCATGACAAAAGCCACAATCCTGAAATCATCGTTAAAACTGATAGGGAAACCGCCGGAGTTCAGTTTCCATCTGCCGCACAGAGGCTGAAATCAGTGGAATTTAATAAATGGGTTCAATATGAGCCTTCCTTTCTTAATCTAGATGAGTTAATGGAACAATAACCTTACGTGGGATAAATAATATGTTTCGAAGCCCAGCTGAAATTGTTGGCTTGCAGACTGTTAAATCCTTGAAGCACACAAGATGGGTTACATAACGTGTAGAACTCATTAAAACACCTATGCGCGCGCTCACACACACACACACACACTGACCTTCCATTGTCCTCAGTGCAAAAGTCAAGCAATCTCTTCCTTTTTCCTTCCATAGAAAGGTTAGATAAATACTTGAGTAGAAAGTATGTTTTTCGTACGGAAAGAGCAGAGATGGAGGGTGGTGGGGAGCTAGGGTGGCAGGGCAGTGGGAAGCAGGGTGAGGGTAGTGGGGAGCAGGGGGGCAGGGCAGGGGGGTTGGGGAAGGTGGGGGGGAGGGGGGTGGGGAGCTGGGGGGCAGGGCAGTAGAGTGCTGGAGGAGGGTGGTAGGGAGCTGGAGGGCAGGACAGTGGGGAGCTGGGGAAGGGTAGTGGGAAGCTGGGGAGGCGCAGGACAGGGGGGTTGTGGGAGGGCGGTGAGGGGGCACAGGGCAGTGGGGTGCGGGGAGAGGGTGGCGGGGCAGGCATGGGCAGTGGGGAGTTGGGGAAGGGTGGTGAGGAGAGGGCAAGGCATTGGGGAGCTGGGGGCAGGGCAGTGGGGAGCTAGGGGAGGGGGGAGGGGGGGGGCAAGGAGAACCCAGAATGAAAACTGGCCCCCACTCTCTTACACTGAATGTTTTCCATGCATTATTTTTTGTTTCTTGATTTTCAGCTCAGGTTTAGGTCTCTGCTACTTGTTACAACAGCAACACTGGACATTTGGGAGCCCAGAGCAATGTTTCTAAAAGAGGAGGCAAGGAGCCGGGAGGTGAGTCAGTCAGTATTCTCTGTCCCAGGTCACAGCCCGGACTTTCCGAATGGGGAGATAACTGTGTACTAGGCTAAGGAAGCTTTAACCTGCCAGGATGGAGCTGAGGTCAAAGTTAGCTGTAAAGGAGGGAGTACTATGAGAAATGACAAAATCACAGAATTTTGTGTCACTCCCAGAGGCTATTTGGCCCATCACGTCTGCGTCAGCCCTCTGATAGATCCAATCCCCTCCTGGCATTTTCCTGCCTTCTCCTGGTGACCCTGCACAGTCTTCCTTTCCGCATAACAGTCTGATTTCCTCACTTGAACCTGCCTCACCACACTTAAAGGCAATGCCATTCCAGAACCTCACCACTCACTGCATGGCAAAGGTTTTTGCTCCTATCTATTGTGTTTCTTTTACTATTTACTGTAAAACCATGCCCTCTTGTTCTTGGTGCTGTTGAGGGATCAATCTCTCCCCACCTTCATAAGTTTGAAGACTTCTATCAGATTCCCTTTTCTTCAAGGAACCAGTCATTAAAACAGGGCTTTTACAGACAGGAAAGCTCCTGGGAGGGTCAAGGAGATGAACCCAACAGACAGCTTTCACTGTAAATTGCACCCTAGCGCAGCTGGCAATTTGCAATGCCTACATCCAAAATGCAATCCCTGGGAGCACAACTACTCCATCAACAAATGGGTAACAGCTACCTCCAATCTACCAGTCTTACACACTTTGCAACCATCAGAATATGATACATCTGCTGACCTGCAACTTCTCTCCCAGTCATATCTTTAACACATTATTTTTCTGAAAAGGAAAGCTTTCTGTACTGTAAATGTGAATCTTATTGCTTTTTTAATGTATTGCCTTTAGGTTGTTTTCTCAATCTGCATTTAGACAATCCCAAGTAAGGAAATAAAAAGCTTTAATAACCCAGTAGAATTCTCAAAGTCATGACTTGGCCCCCAATGTCCTTTCGGGAAAGAAATCTGTCGTCTTTACCCAAATATAACTCCAAACACATTGCAAGTTGGTTGAGTGGTATCGAGGGCAATTAGGGATGGGGAAGGGATGCTGGCCTTGCCTTTGATGTCCACATCTCACAAGAAGAAAAAGCAAACCTAACTGGGCCATTTCCAGTTTTGCTGGGATATGGGGCAGGTTCCGTCTCCATTTTTATTCAGGTTTTCAGCTGGTGCAGTGCTGACCTCTGGTGGATAAATCTGCATTACTTCAAAACAATTAACCCAATCACAAGAAATTAAAGAACACAAAACTGTAGAATGCCCACAGTGCGGAAAGAGGCCATTTGGCCCATCAAGTCTGTACTGACCCTGCAAAGCACTTCCTATTCTATCCCATTTACCATGGCTAACCCACCTAGCCTGCATGCTACAGAGCGATTTAGCAAGGCCAATCCAGCTAACCTGCACACATTTGGACTGTGTGGGGGAAACCAGAGCACACCCATATAAATCCCCACAGGGAGACCATGCAAACTCCACACAGACAGTCACGTGAGGCTGGAATTGAACCAGGGTCCCTGGCACTGTGAGGCAGCAGTGCTAACCACTGAGCCACTGTGCATTTTGCAACAGCCTCTTCCCCTGCTGTTATCAGACTTCTGAATGGACTTCTCAAATTTCAAATTTAATGTTGACCTTGCTCTTTGTGCACCTTCTCTGCAGCCTATCATCGTATTCCTCGCTGCGTTCTATCACCCTAATGCATTTTGTATGGTATGATCTGCCTGTACAATAATAAATCAAATCAAATGATCCCAAGACGTCCCAAAGCACTTTGCAACCAGCGACAACCTTATATTGTTTCCTGACGTGTAGACGCTGTTGTAATGTAGGAAATGCAGCAGCCGACTTCACAGCAAGCTCCCAAAACAGCAGTGCGGTATTAGCCATTGGTGTCCTTTAGAGAAAGAAGCAACACTCACAAGTACACAGGGACAGTGGGCCTAAGAGTCCCCCAGTCTCTAGGAAAATTTTCTCAGGCTAACCAATTGAAGGAAACAGAATGGAAAGAAATAGTGATGAGATTTGCTTTTGTTAGTGAAACCATCAGCAGCAAACATGGGAGAGAAACAGCCTGTGATAGCATTGATAGCAGGACTGTCCTACCAGAAAAGACTGGTTTGGCTAGGCCTGGATCCACTAGAGTTTAGAAGGATGGGAGGGCTGGACAGACCAGATGGTGTTTCCCCTCAGTAGGGGAGTCTAGAACCAGGGGACACAGTTTCAGGGGACACAGTTGGCCATTTAGGACTGAAATGTGGAGAGATTTCTTCATTTCGAGGGTAGTGAATCTGTGCAATTCTGTCCCACAAGAGGCTGTGGAGGCCAAATCCCTGAAGATATTCAAGAGACAGATTTTATTTTAGATTTTATATGCATTACAGGGTATGGGGAGAAAGTGGGGATATGACACTGAGGTAGAGGATCGGCCATGATCATATTGAATGGTAGAACAGGCTCGGAGGGCTGAATGGCCTGCTGTTGCTCCCAGTCACTCTGTGATTGGAGGAGCAGGGAAGAGTTTTGTAATGCTGCCAAGGGAACCATTTTCCAGGGGCTTTCCAGGGGTTAATGGGTAGTATTGAGAGCTACCTTTGGTTGGTATGGATGTTGTTTTGTCTGGATGTTGTTTTGTCTGGATGTTGTGTAACAGAGGCCAGAATGGCCAATTGCCAGACATGAGAGTTTTTCTGCAGGGGAGGGGAGAGCAGCAGCTACAAGTGGGTTCTAAGGGGGAGGAGGCTGCAGGAAGGGTGTGAGGGAGGGACAGGATTGGAATGGGTTGCAGTGGAGAGAGAACAGTTTAAAAGGCGTCAACCAAGGAATACTCAGCTCACTGCGGTCCAAGAAAACTTTAACTCACCAAGGTCATGAGTTCCTCGTAAAGGCATGTGGAACCTAATTTATACGTGGAATAATAATAAGTGAAAAAATACAATGGATCTGTATTGAACACCATAATTGTTAAATTTAAATGTTAGATTGTGATTGGAGCTGTAGTAACTGTCTGGTTTATGTTTTGCAGCTTGTGTATGTTCAGTAGAAACACATTAACCATGACCACAGAAGGTGTTTTTATCATAACAGATTCTTGTGCGTAGAAGTGTCTGAATTATTTTGAAAGAAATCTGTCACTAACTTATGTCTGTTGTCTTCTACTAATTTAAATACTGTGCAGTGTCTAAGAAGTTAGTGTATTCCTTTTGTATTGTGGCTAAATGTTTAACGGAGAGTTGATAATTATAGAGGGTATTGGCAAATTATTCCAGTTCTTTTTTTGCGTGAGTCCAAATAACCCATATGTTGTCAATACAAATACAGAAAGTATTGTAACTGTGCTGTGACATAATCTAATAAAACAGTTAGTGAGAACGAAAAAGGAGCCCTTGTAAAGCAAAAGATAGCCCCCAGAAAATCCAAAAGTATCCTCAAAAAATAATCACAACAAGCCCTCGCAAAAGAACTTCTGAACTCTGGAAGGAAATCTGTCATCCTTCCTTTTTGATTGACATAAAATCTCCAGACCAACAGCAATGTGGATCATTTTTTTACAGCTCTCAAGGCCAAATAGAAATAGTGAAAAAGTACTGACCTTGCCAGTGATACACACATCCTATGTGAAAGAATTCTGTTTAAATGTGTTTGGTCTATTTGAATCTCACCTTTCCAGGATTTCAACCACATTTTAACCACTGTCATTTCTCAGACCTTTGAGTATAGCAGCTGGGATGATATGTTGAGGTTGTTACAAGACGTTGGTGAGGCCTCTTCTGGAGTCCTGTGTCCAGTTCTGAATGCCTTGTCGTAGGAAATATATTATTAAGCTGGAGAGGGTTCAGAAGAGGTTTACCAGGATGTTGCCAGGAATGGAGGGTTTGAGTTATAGGGAGAGGCTGTATGGACTGGGACGTTTTTTCATTAGAGCATAGGAGGTTGAGGGATGACCTTGCAGAGGTTTATAAACTCATGAAGGGTATAGATAAGGTGAATGGCAGGTGTCTTTTCCCGAGGGTGTGGTATTTCAAGACTAAGGGGCATATTTTTAAGGTTAGAGGAGAAAGATTTTTAAAAAATGAGGGGCATTTTTTTTTTTACACAGAGTGGTTTGTGTGTTGGATGAACTTCCAGAGGAAGTGGTGGTTGCGGGTACAGTTACAACGTTTAAAAGATATTTAAGTAAGTACATGAATAATAAATGTTTGAAGGGATATGGGCCAGGTGCAGACAGGTGGGATTAGTTTAGTTTGGAATTATGGTCAGCATAGAATAGTTGGACTGAAAGGTCTGTTTCTGCGCTGTATGAGTGTCTGACTACGATTATGACTCACATCACAGGTTTTTCTTCCTCGCACAGATCATGTCTCGTTTGAAGTATGATATTTCTGACCAGGCAGCATTCCCTGAATGTGTAGAAATGTTAGAACATTAAAAAACAGGGGGAAGCCCTCGATGGGGAAGGAGTTGATGTTACTCAGTCAGTGATATAACTGATAGTTGTGACATGAGCAGAACTATGTGAGAGAGTCTGAGACAGAGACTGTGAAGGGAGCAACACTTTGTATTCAGTTGTAGTGGTATATGGGAGTCAGTTGGCTGGACAGTTGCTTTGCAACATAGAGTTAACACCAACAGTGTGGGTTCAATTCCCATCACTGGCTGAGGTACCGTGAAGATAACTTCTCCTTCTCAGCCTCTCCCCTTGTCTGAGAGAAGATAAACCTCCACTGGTCAACTCTCCCCAGTGAGAAAGCAGCCCTCTGTGGCTTTGAAAAATTTACTAGTGGTGTATATAGAGAGAATAAAGAGTTGAATTACAATGACTACATCCAGATTTCTGGTGGAGTACAGCAGTTATGTACAACCCAGCTCAATGCTACAGGGAACAGGAACAAACTGAGCCTTAAAATAAGCTCAGACCAGACCAAAGTACAAACCTCCAAGACTATCTCCTTGACTGTTCAATTTTATCCATGGCTGACCTACACCTCAACACCATTTTCCCATATCTCTCGATCCCACTGCTCAGCAATGTCTATTGATCTCAATATCAGAAGCTCCATATGACATGCAGCACCCTAGAGACAATAATTCCACATTTCGACTAAATGTTACGTACAGGAATTGTTGCCTTGTTCGGCTCCTAAGTTCTGAAGAAGAGTCACTGGACTCAAAAATGTTAACTCTACTTTCTTCCCACACAGACCTGCTGATTTCTCCAGCAACTTCAGTCTTTGTTTGACCCCTAAGCAACCTAGCTCCAATTTTAAGATGATGTCCCCTTGTTCATGATTCTCCTGCCAGGTGAGAGTGATCTCTCATCTCCCAAATGAAGCTCCTAATATCCGATCATTTGACGATGAAAGGATCAGACTTCCCTGGTCAAATGGAGGAACAAGCTTTAATTCAATTACAGCTAACTGGGACACAGCAAAAGAAGTCTCTCCAAATAAGGTGGAGCAAGGCTCCCAATGAGGAGTTGTCATTGATGAGATATTGAAGTCTGTGTAATATGGAGGAGGGGTTCATTGGAGATAAAAAGCACAGCAGCTTCCCATCATAATTCGCCTGTACCTCTCCTTCCAGATCACACTTCATGTGACCAAGCAGTACGAGTCTGAGGTCTCCATCTGGATTATAATTGGGAGTTTGTTAGGAGGCCTTCTCCTGTTTGCACTGCTCACTCTCGCTTTATGGAAGGTAAGTGGAGTATTTCACCAGAGCCTGAATATTAGACCTTCCAGCGTTGCGAGCAAGCTTATCCATCCTAACTCTGGGTGGCTTCCAGTTCAGAAGGTGGGAAGGTGGGGACTGTGATGACCACAGCATATCTCTTCATTGCCTGCGTTCTTGAGAGTTTTATTTGCAGTTGACTGTCCCAAATGAAAGCTGTGTCGGTTATGTTGAGATCACAACACGGCAAATACTTTCTGTAATAATGCAACCCATCAGGCCATTGGAAATAATACTAAGTTTGTACTGAATTGCTTTCCACGTAGTGACTGCTGAGCAGTCAGATACACTGACTCTCGCTGACTCTCTAGCTGTTGCCTGGTCCCATCATTGCTGTTTGCAATGTGGAACAGGTTTAGCAACAAACTGGGGCTGTGTGCAGGATGTGTTGCTGGTCTTCCTTTGACAGCATCTTCCAAGCTCAAACTTTCTTCCACAAGGACAGCATTTGGATGTGACAGTGACTGTATCATGGTACTGCAGCTGGCACCAAAACCAATATCAAAAAGACAACATATAACACAGTGACCAAGAAACCAAGATATCAGACATGTCTCAGAGTGCCACTGACAGAAGCTGTTCAGCTTTGCAACATCTGAAAGATGCCAAGACCATTACACCATAAATATAGGAACACAATTAAGCCATAACCCCCGATTCCCTTGTGGGGTGTCAAAAATCTATCTTCCCCTTTAAATGTTCAATGTAGCAGCCTCTAATGTTCTCTGGGAACTGGAATTCCATAGGCATTGCGAGTTTGGTACACTTTAGTTCGAGGATAAGCAAGAGAAGTTGGTGGAACAAAGATACAGACCAGCAGTGATCGAACTCGATAGAGTTCAAAGGACTGAATGGCCTGCAGCTGTTAGCCTTTTGTCATCTGATGCCCAGAAAAGTCCCCACGCCCCTTATTTATAACAGGGCTGAGCAGGGCAAGGGCCAGGCTAGGCTGACACTTGAGCATCAATTCTCTGATCTGAATCCCGCTGCCGTAAGATTAATCCTCTCATTTCATTTCTTTACCCCACAGATTGGCTTTTTCCAAACTGCATACCGTCGCAGGAAAGAGGCCATGGCCGCTGGGAATGGATCAATTGAGCAGTCGTCGAAAAAAGGCATAGAACATTGAAATCTCAGAAGTGTTAAACACGAGAAGGTGCAAACTCACACAACAATAACCAGGTGACACCAACTGGCAAAACAGTATACCAACACCGAGCAGTCACCGTGTGCACCTTCCTGTATGTGAGGTCATTGATTTTTGCTTGTGGTTCAACACACTTTCATTCATTGTCTCTAAGGTGCAGCAAACTGCTATAAATCCCAGAATATATTCCGCTCCTGCCCCACCCCAATCAAAAAACCATGTTTTATCAGGGGAAGCAACGTAGATTACATTTCTCTGTTTGAAAGCTTGAACTTTCATTGGCTGTGTGTGTGTGACTGTGCTAAACACAAAAGAAAAACTACCCAAACAGGCACAACCACAACTGGAATGAGCCAGTGCCCATTTTACAGCCATCAGGAATTATACCTGCCCCTTTAAGTGCAAATCCCTGAAGTATTGTTTAGAAAATACTGACTGTCTGTAATCTTCGTCTATTGGTTCCAAGTGTTATGTTTATAAGAAAGTGAGGAATAATTTGCACAGGATTTATGGATTGTAGATATTTTTAATTAAGTTAACCTCCCTGCGATCCTTTGCTTATCACATACCTTCCTTCAGGTGTGAGAGAGGTGCAGTCTATCCGAGTCTCATATCGCTCCTTCTCTTAACACAATGGGAAGGCCCAATGCCGAGGGAAATGCCCAGTCTGGATTTCTGTGCCCACAATCTCACTGTAGCCCCCTCCCCTGCCTCATAACAAAGAGGAAGTTTATCCATTTATCGATCTGCTAAAACTATTCAAGGTGATTAAGTAACCACTGATGTCCTTCTCCACTGGTAGATGTGCTTCCTTAGTTTTATCAAGCTTGGCCTACAAATGTGTGTGGCTTTCTAGGGGCGGGTGCCCTCTGAGCTGAGGCAGTTTGAGAGATGAACATTCATGGAATTGTAGAGGTGAGAAAGAATTAACAGAAAGGCACCAATCACAAGACTAATCCTATGGATTGGTTGGACATTGTGGACCTGTTGGGGTATGACACAATGTTTACAGCTCAGAAACTGGCCATTCAGCCCAACTGGTCTATGCCAGTGTTTACGCTACACCTGAGCTTCTGCTTACTTCTGACCCTCTCAATATATCCCCTTCGATGTGGAGGTGCTGGTGTTGGACTGGGGTGGACAAGGTCAGATGTCACACGACACCAGGTTATAGTCCAACAGGTTTATTTGAAATCACAAGCTTTCGGAACATTGCTGCTTCGTCAGGTGATGACAGAGCAGCACTCCAAAAGCTTGTGATTTCAAACAAACCTGTTGGGAGTACTACCTGGTGTTGTGTGACTTCGGACTATATCCTCTAGACCTTTCTCTGTTATGTGTTTATGTAGCATCACTACCCCCACTTTCCCCCTTCCTTAAATGTATTTAGCCTGTTCCTCTCAGCCCCTGTTCCTGGCAGTGAATCCCACATTCAAACCACTCTCTGGGCAATGAAAGTTTTTGTGAATTCGGTGTTAGATTTGTTAGTGGCTAGTGATAGTTACAGGCCCTCGTTCTGCTCTTAGCTTCAAATAGAAGCACTGGGCCGACTCTCTGGAAGAACATGGGTTACGGTGAGATTTATGGCAGAATTGAGTGAGATGCCTGTTGAGACTGATCTCAATGTGCTGACCACCCCCACTCCATGTTTTCTGCTATTGACAAACAGCTGGCTCCTCACCTGGCAACCCCGAGTTGCCAATTATAGGGGATTATTGCTTGATGCCTGGCAGTCCAACTCACCCTCATTAATATTCAACATCCACCTTACCAAATGCACCAAAAACAAGCTAGACAGAGAAAACTTGATGTGAAAACCATGGGATCCTGGTTTGCTATGTCCAGAGCAGTTTCCAATAGCATTAGAGGGGTTTGGACACGGCAGTCACTCACTCAGGGATGGTAGTCAGGACGCTCTCCACATAAGGAGTAAGATAATGAATGAGGTGAGGTAAGGCACAGTGAGAAAATGTGCTAGAAATCCCTCTTTAAAAAAAAAACTCAATGCAACTCAGAATTAGCCAAAACTCCATAAGATTCGACCCATTATTGTTTTACACGAACCCAATCAGACCCTTTCATAAATTTTAAAGATGACCATCGGCAAGTCCTAACATATCCCACAAATGGACACAGCAATTTCTCTTAGGGATTCCATACCTAGTCTCTAACAACTGGCCCCTTGCTGGTAAGTATTTTTATGTACATGTTTTGGGAATAGGTTCCTGGTAACATCAATTAGAAAAGATTGGCGGGCTGAGGTTCATTTCTCTCAAGAGGAGAATGCTGCTGGGGGCAAGGCAAAAGTTTGTGGTTTGGAAATATTACTTGTGGAGGCTCCAGGGCAAACCCAGAAGGCTAGCAACTCCTATTAGGGCCTACGTAATGTGCAATGAGAAAAATGAACCAGCTCAGGCAGAAATGATGGGGACAAAATTGGACCATGTTCAACCTTTTTTCTTATTCATTTGTGGGATGTGGTTATCTCTGGCTGGTCCAGCATTTATCGCCCATCCCTAGTTACCTTGGAGGTGGTGGTAAACAGCCCTCTTGAACTGCTGCAGGCTACGTCTATAGGTTGACCCACAATGCCATTATGGAGGGAATTCTTGCAATAGATTCAGTTGTTTTCATGCTTATCATTGCACTGGATATACAGTTGATGGATAAATGGGAGGCAAATACAGATTATGGAACAAAAGAGAGGTTGCTACTGGTTTCAGTGACCTGGCGTCAAGGGGCGGAGGGTTAAAGTTTAACCAGAATTGCTACTCTTGGTTGCCATCTACTGGCTGTTGCTGCATTGTGGGGAAGTATAACCTTGATCATACAATCTGTGGTTGGGAGCTGACTGACTTTTAAGGCCCGATTTTGACCTTAATGGAACACAAAATCTGGCAGGATGTAAAATAGAGATCCACTCCAATCCTGAGATAACAAGGTGTAGAGCTGGATGAACAGCAGGCCAAGCAGCATCAGCGGACCTGGTTGGTGTGTAAGTTTAAAGTCAGGAAGACAGATTCTGGGGATCCCAACAGTCATGACCACTTGCCATTCAAACCTCAGAACTACACTTAGAGCATAAGCCTCAATTTCGTGCTCACAAAGAGATTGGGACTTGAACTGTTTGACTTTCTATCAGAAGAAAGAGGGTTACCCACTGAACTCGAATACGAGGGGTCTACCTGAACTGTTAACCTGGGCATTACCGGTCTACACTGTACTTCAAGCATTTTCTGGGATTATTTATCTTTATCAATGTACCTTTACAACGGTAAACTGAACACCGTAAATTCCAGTATATACATTACAGCCAGTGAACCATTGTAATGATCAGCATTTCAACAGTGTGTAAATCACATCCAATTAAGGAGAGCTTGTAAAAGCTGTCCAGCAAGGCACAACTGACAAAGGAAATTTCACACTACGTTCTCAATCACCATAACCTAATGAAAATTGTGTAAAATTTCTATGCTGCGGACATTTACAGATTCTGTATTATATGTAAAACTCTTTTGTATATGTAAATATTTGGAAGGAATTTGCCTTTGTAATTCAGAGTGTTGACAATTTGTAATTATATGAACAAAGACTACTTGCTTTGATATCCTGTTGGTCATGAGACATAAGATGGACTGAGTGGTTCAAAGAAAATTAGATGTACACTGTTACTGTGGTTGCTTCTCATTACTTGCACATTTCTTTATGAATTAAGGGTGGTCTTCGGTGGCTGATTTCAGCAGGAACAGCAGTGGAGACCCTAGACCTCAGCCTGAGCATCTGGATTGGTTGGAGGGGCGGGGGGGAAGCGGAGATATGGTAGGGGGACTGGGTCATGGAAGGGGAATCCAGCCACTCCCTGGTGAGTCTTGTCAGAAACTGCATCACAGGCAAGTAGCTTGTCCACATTCATTCCAAAGGAATGGGAACCAGCGTGTAGCGAAGAAGGAGGTAAAGTTGCTACTATCCACCCCCACCCCACCGCCCAACCACCATTCTCTTGTGAACTGGATGGGAGAAGAGTGTAATAAAAGGTTGGCCTGTGGAAAGACAGAGGAAACCTCAACAGGGAAGGTAGGGTTGCAAATGCGCTGCACAGTGCTGGCCAGCTCCCCCCAGCCCAAAGGCCAATGCAACAGGCCAATTACCACCTACAAAGGTAAAAGGGACTACCCATGTTGTCAAGCATGGGGCTTTTGTAACGGATATAAGTAAATTTTAAAATGTCACCGTTTGCCCCATGCATCCACCAGTAGTTCTGAGAGCTAAGGTTGATGGTTACCTTGGCTCGTTTCCTAGAAGAGATTCACTAATGTCAATAATCAGCCAGACCAGCAATCACAGACTTGGAACTGCAGTGATCGTAAGCCTGGGTGTATTGTAACTTTCCTCATTGCTGCCTAACACATTGGAACAGTCGGGCCACTCTGAGCATCAGGGCAAGGAGCTCCCTAACTGCAAGCCATCCAACAGCAGTTCCCTGAGGAAAAGGAAGGGATCGGTCCTTCAAATGGTCTTCTCTCCAATCCTCCTCCCACTGATAGTGAGGCCTTTCAAAAAGGACACAAACTTGTATTTGTATAGCACCTTTAACAGACATACCTCCCAAGCACTTCAGAGGAGCACAACCAAGCATAATTTGATACTGAATCACAGAGATATCAGTATTGAAGGCCAAAAGCTTTGTCAAACAGGTTGATTTTGAGAACAATACAAATTTCATCAGCAAAGCATTAACCTTATGGGAAGAAAATCTCTAATATTAAAGCTTATAGTTATTGGATTCAATCCCATCGATGGCACTGTTCTAGAAATGGAAATGTGGATTTGCTTGGATGGTAAGGGGATGGTTATGATGAAAGTTTGTGGTTCTGTGCCTTGGAATAGAGAGGTTAAGGAACGGATCAGCCAGCAGTGTATAAAATTAAGAAAGGTTTTTGTGGCAAAAGGTTGAGGAATCGTCTCGCTTCCTGAAGAAAATGTTACAAACCTGGGAACAATTTTAAGAGCTTAGACAAGGTTAAATGGAATTCTGCTAGACAAATATCTGTCATAATATGGAAAACAGTACAAGAAGTGAGTATGGAACCTTATCAATCACAATGGGAACTGAACACTTAAAAAAATAAACATACTTGGAAAGAGGAGGAAAATGGTTTTGGGAAATAGTTTCACTTTCACTTGCAGACTGCCATTAAATGCTGACATGGTTTCCTTCTAGTATTGCTCCTTTCAATCTTTTGATGCCAATTCACTTTTGGTTATAGTCCTCCAGCCTTTAGTTTTACCTTCTCACACAATGATCACATTCCTGGGATGAATGGGTTGACTGGTCATGAACACTAAACAATCGGACAGCATGGTGGCTTAGTGGTTAGCAAATGCTGCCTCACAGCGCCAGGGACCTGGGTCCGATTCCAGCCTCGAGCAACTGTCTGTGTTAATTGCACGCTCTCCCTAGGTCTGCATGGGTTTCCTCCAGGTGCTCCGGTTTCCTCCCACAGTCCAAAAACATGCAGGGTAGGTGGATTGGCTATGCTAAATTGCCCACACTGCCTAGGGATGTTTATTGTAGGTGGGTTAGACATGGGAAGTTAGGGGAATGGGTTTGGGTAGGATGCCTTTCAGAGGGGCAGTATGGACTTGTTGGGCCGAATGGCCTGTTTCCACACTGGAGGGATTCTATGGATTAAATTTAGCCCTTTATTACTAGATTTTAGAAGAACGTAGGGCGATCTTCTTGAAATGTATGGATTCTGAGGGGACTTGACAGTAGATATTTCCACTAGTGAAGAGTCTTGAACTTGGGTACATAGTTACAGAATAAAAAAAAACTCATTTAAAACTGAGATGCAAAGGAATTTCTTCTCCCAGAGGGCAGTGAAAATCTGGAATTTTCTAGCCCAGACCGTAATGAAGTTCAGATTACTGAAAGTATTTAAAGATGAGGTAGATATGTGAAACAGCAGGGATTTGAGATGGCAGGAGTTAAGGCTTGAGATGAATCAGCCATGATCATATTGAATGATGGGGCAAGTGCAAGGAACCAAATGGCCTACTCCTTTTTCTTATAAGTGAATAGGGTTTGGAATGTATTTCCTGATGAGGTGGTGGAAATAAATTCAATAAGTGCTTTCAGAAAGGAATTGTTTAAACATTTTAAAGGAGACAAAATTTAAATTTATGGGGCAAGAATGGATGAATGAAACTGGTCAGACTGAAAGAGTTGGAGACAGACAGAATAGCCTAAGTATTGGACAGTACAATGCTCAGCTGTTCCTACGTTTCTGAGATTTTGAACCAAGGCTCAGAGTGTTGACAAATTATTACCTTTCTTCCCATGCATTCCCTGTGACTTGCTGTCCTTTACAATTTATAATGATAGAAATACAACGAAGCAAGGTGGAATGGTGTTATACCGGGATTAAAATCTGGTCATGGCAGATGGTGAAATTTGAATTCAATGAAAATCTAAAATTAAGAGTCTACAGGTGACCACGAAAGCATTGTCGATTGGCAGAACAACCCATCTGTTTCACTAACATCCATAAGGAAAGGAAACTTGTTATCTTTATTTGGGGTGGCTCAGTGGTTAGCACTACTGCCTCAGCACCAGGGACCTGGGTTCGATTCCACCCTCGGGCAACTGTCTGTGTGGAGTTTGCACATTCTCCCAGTGTCTGCTTGGGTTTCCTCCGGGTGCTCTGGTTTCCTTCTACAGTCCAAAGATGTGCAGGGTAGGTCAATTGGCCATGCTAAATTGCCTGTAGTGTTCAGGGATGTGTAGATTAGGTGGGTTATAGGGAATGTATCTGGGTAGGATGCTCTGACGCTTGGTGTGGACTTGTTGGGCCGAAGGGCCTGTTTCCACACTGTAGGGATTCTATGAACTGCAAATGCTGTTAATCAGGAACAAAAGCAGAAGTTGCTGGAAAAACTGTGCAGGTCTGGCAGCATCTGTGAAGGCAAATTCAGAGTTAACATTTTGGGTTTCCTCATTCTGAGGAAGGGTCACTGGACCCAAAACGTTAACTCTGAATTAGTCTTCACAGATGCTGCCAGACCTGCTGAGCTTTTCCAGCAACTTCTGTTTTTGACCCAGGTTCAATTCCAGTGTTGGGTGACTGCAAACTCCACACAGACATTCTCCTGGTGTCTGCATGGGTTTCCTCTGGCTTCCTCCCAAAGATGTGCAGGTTAGTTGGATTAGCCTGGGAAATGCAGGGTTACAGGGATACCATGGGTGGGGGGTGCGGTGTTGAGGGGGAAAGAGTCTGTGTGGGATGATTTTCAGAGAGTCAGGGGGACTTTTCACACTACAGAGATTCTATAAAATTTGCATTTTTAGTCAGGCCAGAAATCAAATTGTATTCAAGGATTCAGTAGAATTACAACATTGACAAAGGACAATATCAATAATCTTGTTATTGCTGGAAATATATATAGCACACAGACTAAGCAAGACCCATGTCAATGAAAATTGCCAAAACTAACTTCTAGCAACAAATGATAGAAATACAACGAAGCAACGTGAAGTGGTGTTACACCAGGATTAAAATCTAGTCATGGCAGATGGTGAAATTTGAATTCAATAAAAAAAATCTAAAATTAAGAGTCTAAAGATGACCATGAAAGCATTGTTGATTGGTAGGACAACCTAACTGGTTCACTAACGTCCTTTAGGACAGGAAATTTGTTATCTTTACCTGGGTTAGCCTACATGCAACTCCAGACCCACAGCAATATGGATGTCTTTGAACTGCACTCAGCAATTAGGAACAGGCAATAAATGTTGACCAAACCAACAACACCTACATTCCATGAACGAATAAAAGAAACACACCACAAAGCAGGGGAGCACTACTTCAGTTGAAAGTAGCCTCATTGCAGAGTGTGAATTATTTGTGTTACCTTATTTATGCATATTGCACAGCAATCACTACAGGAAGTGAACTAGAGTTCAAGAAAACAGAATAGATAACCAAGTTAAGAAAAATGAACTCATCAAAATCATCTAGTGGCTAGTTAGGAATGGAACAACAGACAGAAAGAAGCTTGGACAGTCAAAGAAAAACTGTTTATTTTAACAAAATACCATATTACATTCCTTGGAAATATTTCATGGTTTCAAGCAATGAATTTCTTTGCTGTTAGGTAGGCAAATGTGGTATCTATTTTGCACACATTAGATTAATTAAGTCACATTTCTAAGAAATCTGACACAACAGCAAGAGCATTTGCAAGACTGCAATGCAGTAAGGATTTGAGAAATCTGAAGCTTTTGAGTTGATGGTAACATCAAACTGTATTTGGTCAATCATAAGAAAAAACAAGCTTATTGTGTATGATATTATGCTGTGATTTGAGAATAAAATGTAGTCAGTGCTAAGACTTAAAACACTTTAAATTTCATCAAAGTCCTGAGACAGCATGCAACTGTAAGGTTTGAACTTCAACAGTGATTCACTGACCTCTACCAGAGTCTGCTTGACTAGCCTCAAAGTATTGATCAATAATTGAATGGTCACCAAAGCCATTAAACCAGTCAGTGTACTTGTGAAACGTACCTGGTTGATACAAAGTCCCACCAGATCCTGAACGGTAAAGGAATGGTTATGGGAAAGAACAGTTCAACTGATATCTCATGCAGTGCCATCACTGGGATATTGGCAACATTGTCCATGAAAGACAAAAGTGGCTCAAAAGGGGGACACTACACATTAGAGAAGTGTACATTAGGGGTGATCTGGTTGTGGGTTACAACATGATTAAGAAAGTAGATTGTACCTGTGTTGACAACTAGCTATAACTCAATTAATCAGGGAGTCACAACTTCAAGAATACAAGGCCAGATCAAGGTGTATTGTCACAAGGTGGTCCCAGCATATAGTGGACCCATGTAACCAAAGTGCCAGCTTAAGTGGACAGTGTGAAAGTTTGACTTTTTTTTTGTCTGCACAGGCCTCCTTATACAAGAAATAGGTAAAGTATAACATTAAGACAGGAACAATTTCTTGGATGGGTTTTGAGCACCTAACAAATGAAATAGCTTGGACTTATTTTTCCAGATATGTGTCTTGAGCTCACTTCACTTTCGGACAGAATGGGAAAATGTAAATATTACAATACGAAAGGCTCCATAATTGTGAGGTAGGCTGAATGGGTCAGAGTATCTCTTCCAGTCCAACATATCTCCATTTGTTCATTGTTCATTTATACATACAAAAGCCCACAATTCTTCAATCTTTCTTGGTAACTTCAAACGAAGACATTACCTCATGGCTTTTCTCTTGCACTATACTGCCTCCTTTTTTCTACTGGCAACTAGAGCTGGATATAGTAATCAAAGTTCCATCTGATTTGTGCTCCTTAACATTAGTAATGCCAGGGATGCAATGTACTATCGCGTACTGCTCATCAAATAATTCAACATTGTCACACATACTTAGCTTCAGGTTTACTAAGCATTATGTTAAATTCTCTTTTTGGTATCATGCTTAGTGTTTAAAGTCTGTTTATCGAGTAAGTATGTCACATATTTCTCTTTTCTATTTGAATCACCAGATGTCACGGCTCTTACCATTTTCCTATTTCATTGTCATTTTGGACATTTACTGATTCAAATGACCCCATTTTCATATGATCTGCAAAACAAACAAAAATCGGTTGGGGGGGGGGGGGGCGTCTCGAAATGTATTAGTTTACATGCATTTTATTGAGGCGATTAAAAGATGAACAGCTCTGTTCATTAGGAAAGCAGTATAGAAGGAACGTTGTCTGCTGTTGCCTTGTGACAGGAGTCAAATATAGAAAGTGAGACATGTCAGGGTAGCCACAGGCAGAGTGCAGGTTCAGAGAACGAGAGCGAGCACATCTGTAACAGAAGTGCTGTTAACTGCAGTCTCCAAAGTTATAATAGATGGAAAAAGAAGTCCTGAATTGCATAGATATTAAATGCAGGAGTAAGCTATAGAAAATACAGAATTAAGGAACCAATGTTAAATAATAAGCGAGTAGTGTCAATAGTTTAAAGGGTCTCAAGAAAACACTAAAAACTTAGCATGTGAATCAGAAGTTTGCAGAAAAGAAACAATTACAGAACTGAACAAGCAGCTTCAAAGCCAGAGCAATCCCTCACTGAGGTAATGGTTGCTGTTGGTACAAATTGAGACTTTATTTCAGATATTAACCATTTCAAATAGTTTCTAGATAATGTGGTTCATGATTTTTGAGCAATACACCGTTTTGTTAAATGTACATTGACAATTTCAAGAATATGTTCAGTAACTGATCGCCATAATCAACAAAAAGCACTGCATTTGATGCCATCCAAGAACATACGAGGTAGCACCAAAATCTGATTGTTAAAAATGCCTGAAAATGTAAAAATAACTAAGCATTGCAGAGAAGAGAGAAACTTTAGATTTATTTTTTTAAAGAAACAGCTTACAACTGCAAATGCAGTCTGAAACAAATGAAAATGAGCATGCACAGTGGGAACTTATTGTATTGCTGGTGCCAGCAGACACTTCATTTAAAGAATTGCCAAAGTAAAACTTATGGTCTATTGAGGGGTCTCATTCTGCTCTATAAATTGTCCAGTATCACCAGTTGGGATCATAAAGTGAGGCTCTTTATGGGATCAGAATTCAATGAATTCAAGAAGGATCTGTGAGTCTTTTAAAAACTAGCTTATAGAATTGCTGAGCATAATTGAACTTGTCGTTAAGCATATTACAGACATTTTGAAATTCCAAAATCTATGACTGCTGTTAATATTTTTTCTGGGAGTGAAAACTATAAAAGTTTAGCTATTTGAAATGTTTGCTTAAGGCTGAACTGAGGGGTTTAATGGATAATTGTAGGTAGAAATAAAAAGTATGATCTCACAAGCATAAGCAGCTAAAAGTAACCACCTAGCAAAAAGTCAATTCTAGCTGTAAATACCCAAGATGGTTAGAAATTGAAAACAATAATAACCCGATAACAAAGGCAGGCTGCAATATAATTTCTCGATCAACCATAAGCTTTAACAATTGATTGGAGGTCTTTTTTGAGCAGATTGTAAAATAAAAATCCTGCTTGTCCAAAAATTGACACTAAAAAGGGACACTGGCAAGTTCCGTTCACCGTTGCAGCCAAATAAAATGTTTGCTTTCGTAATACCAGACGGACTTAATGAATGTAACGTCTTGCCATTTGGAATGAGAGATGCATCTGCAACTTTTCAACCATGACCTGCCAATGTAATTGAAGGATTATTCAATCATGTTGTACGTATTGAAAATTTGATGGTTCAGCCAATCCTAGGAACAGCACTTCAAAAACTTCAACTAATTGTTCAGTTAGAAATAGCCACACTTGGTCATAAATGTGGCCATAAGTAAATTTTCCAAAGGCCCACACTGTAAGTTAAGGCCAAATAGCACCTGGAGAAGGAAAAATAAGGGCCATTTTGCATCTTCCCATGCCTATAGCAATTTGAGAAATTAAGGTATAATTGGTATGAGCAAATTTTAAATCAGAAGCTCTTGAAATTTCAGCACTACACTGGTTCTCTTGACAAGTTTGTTTTTCTTTAAAATGGAAGAAATTTGAATGGACATATGCAAAAATCTCTGCATGTGGTACTGACTACTGAGCTGGTTTTAACAGCAGTGAATTATACACGCCACTTAAACTGGTTGTTGATGCCATGACTTCAGTTTTGGTGCAGTGGTACTACTGGAAGAGATGGGGATGGAATGACCATTAATCACTTTTCCACAGGAGTCGAATGTTTCTACAGTGGAGTGTTTGTACTGAGTCCCAGACAGCTTTTCCATTAAGAGTTCATACTAATAATTTGATTGTTTTGTTGGAGTTTAACATTATAGCCATTATAGACTGGAAAGTCATTCATGCAGCAGGCAAAAAGTCTTTGGCTGTACATGGTTATTATAGCGGATACTTTATGGAGGAAAAAACAAATAGCTGTTATCAAAATGGACTTGAGATTGTTACAGAAAGTCCTGGAGTATGTATTGGGGATATATTGCTACCAGTGAAAGCTGTATAAAGGAAACAAAAATGAAAATGCTTCTGATACATTTTCATCTTTTTTTAAAATCTGCAGTGAGGTGAAACTTGGGGTCTAAGTGGAAGAAGCTTTATACTTTAAATTTGATTTGTATTTCTATGTTATGTCATAATGAGGAAGACGACAGTTTTAGTTTCAGTTTTATGTTGAGTGAGCTGGTGGGATTTCTGGAAATTTATTTGCTTACACGCATTTGACAGTAAACAGTTCAGGTAAACATTTCAGCGATTAGAGAGTTTTTGGAGAGGGGGTTGGGAAGGCAGAAGGAATAAATCTGTTACCTTGCAACAAGCGTTTAGCATCACAAAAAGACAGAAACATCCAGAAGCAGTGCGCAGATTCATTCAGATAGAAAGAGAGAGTCTGTAACAGCTCATTTTTCTTGTGCAAAAAAAAACACATTCAAAAACAAACAGTAGCAGCCTCTTCTGGATATGCTCTATGACCAAGCACCACAGTAAACTAATTGCCAATATAAATGATTTATGGTCTATAAAGCCACAGCTCTGGCTGGAATCTAACTTGTGCAGTATTACCATCAGCTGGGATCATTAAATTTAGAGATGCTACTCTGTTCAGTACTTTGATTCCAACACAACTCTTCAAAGTTACATATTGATTAAAAGGAAACCAGTAGTAGGAAATATGCAATTTCCATCACTTACCTTTGCTGGCCATACCTTGGAGGTAAACTAATGGTCTTTATTTTACATACTCAAAAAGATAGGAATTAGATTGTTAAATATGTCAAACTGTGAGCCTTTAAGAGATGGAACATAGAGGGCAAATTGCATGTTGGAGAGTGCAGAACAAGAAGGAATAAGCCTTAAAATTAAAGCTAAAAACAAAATAGATGGTGGCAGGAAACATCACAAAGAATCCTGAAAAATCAGAAACACTTTTGCAAGCTGCTGTGGATTCAGCGGGTCAAATGAACAATTCAAAACTGGGATTAGCAGGCTAAAGGGCTGCAAAACCATGGCAGGCAAGTGGAGTTAAGATGCAGACTACCTATGGTCTAACTGATCCTTAAAATAGTTTCAAGGGGATGAGTGGTCTTCTCCAGCCCCTATATTTCACGAGCTTTCATTTCAATGTCACGCAGAACAAAACACACTGCTCACATTACACGGTCACTATCTCTGACTTTTAATGACAAGTCCTGACTTTGTTTCAGTGTATACACAGGGTTATTTAACAAAAAAAAACATTTTACAAAATACAGGAAATGAATGTTACATATTTCACCCCTTTCCAACAAAAGAAGTACAATATTACAATTCAGTGGAAAATGAGATTAAAGGGGAATTTAAAAATACAAACAGCAAACCCAATTTTCCAAGTAGCAGTGCGCTTCAAAAGCGAAGGGAAAATAAATCTGCATCTTGGGAATTGTGAGAAAACAGTTACATTAGCTGTAGGTCCTGAGGAGTTATAGTGCAAAATGCCAAGTCATTTCAATTCAAGTTAAACAGTTTCTGCTCCATCCTGAATTTTCAATATTATCTCTCATTGCTGATTTATACTGCTAAACATTTAGAATCTCTTCTTCAACAGACATGTAATATTACAGACAGAACAGCACAATGTTCTGATTTGTATTACTTTACCAAAAACCACAAATCAGAAGCTGCATATTGATCAGATACACAGGGTACATATTTTTAAATAAACTCTGCAAAAGCACAGCTCTTGTAGGAAGACCAACTGTACATCATAAGTCAAAAATCAGAAAAGATCATTTGGGCTGTGTAATGAGAATGTTTTCCTTCCCCCTTCCTTTATTTTAATCCATTGTTAAGGCGTTTGGTGGAAATGCATTCATTCAGTTTCATTCCATACAATTCTACACAACACTTAGTTTGCAGACTGTAGCCTTAGGAATGGGCTAGTGGAAAATAAAATTTAACCCCTTAAAAATATCCCTGGAGCATTTAGATCCAAGCTTTCTCTACATGTTGGTTACTACATCACCTTGCCAGAGGGGATACAGACTAGTGACACTTAAGAAACCAGTTCTTTACATGCACAATTGACATGTTAAATGTTGTGTTAATCCAACACATTTTAGACTGATATCTGCCCGCACCCCATTATGACTGCAAACTCTCCTAAAGTACCTTATCACAAACAATGCCATGGTCATTAACACGATCTGTAGAATGTAAAACGTGATGAAAACAGGGCAAAAATAATTTGCAATATTGACTATTAAATTAATTACATTTGTTTTTTTTTCAGTTAGCTCCCAAGAACCCTGAACTTCACAAATGTTCCCCAGTATCTGTTCATAATATGCTGGCCTGGACAGTTTCCCTGTAGTAGTGACCCATGGTTTGAATCAATTCAACATCCAATGGTCACACATACATTTACCAATAGGTGACCGTAACCAAGACTGGGAATCCCTCCCCATTTTTTCCACTCTATAGTTCAGCGATGACGAGGCTAATTGCAAAATGTGATATAGATCTGGAATTTTCCTAGTCCAAACTGCTCAGAGCATAAGGTTATTCACTGAGCCAAGCAGTGTCCACAAAACATTTCAAAACAAATCTTAAAAAATGTTCAACCACTTGTGTGAAAAATCCAAAACATTATTTTAAAACAATGGCCAAATTTGCAGAAAGAAAATGTCACAATATCACTGGTTTCAAAGAGAATGCCAAATACAGATAACAGATTGAGAGACCTTTTGGGTCAGTGATCTGAAGTGAACTCAGAGGAATTGTTCCAGTTGCCAACTGTGCAACCTTTCCCCAAGAATATTCAGCACAAGTACCAAATACACCACCCACTCAGTACTTAATCAACTACACCACAGCTACCAAAGGCAGTGAAACTCTTTACTTTGCGTGCAAACACTACACCATAACCTACATCAATAATAATCTAAATTCAAGCACAGATTTGCCTCAATACTACAGCACTAACTAGCTGACAGTGGCCTCTAGGTGAAACATTTAACAGTTATTCTTTTCCAGGAATAAAACTAGAAAATTAAAACAGCATTGAAGCTGTCACAAGTCATTTAGCTGTTAATAACAAGATATTCTGAATCACTAAGCTTTGAATCCTCATTTTAAAATATGCACCACTGTTGTCCCCAGGATTTCAGGGAAAATAACAGGAGTGCACACACCAATCCCACTAAAAGACATCACGCCCCAACAAGTAGAATGGACACTGCCTACGTAGTTTTCCAGTTCAAGTCCCAATTCAGCATTCAGTTGGGGAGCATTGAAACTCGTATAAATTGTCTCCATCCAGGGTGGAAGACAACCAGTACTTCCAGTTTATACGACCAAGCAGTGACTCTGTGGAAGTGTGGGTAACATGGGGTGCTGGACACGAACGGGCTCTCTTCTAGCTATTCATGATGGGCTTAAAACAATAAGTCAATTCAGTAGGGGCTGCAAAAACAGACAGACTAAAAACCCAGAAAAAGTTCACCCTAGGAGATAAGTGGGTAAACACGATTCCCACTGGGTTGCAGTTGGAGACAGTATCTCTAGTTACTTAAGTACTTATGACTGCAGTTCTATTACTTGTGCTGACCAGCTTGTAGAGATAAAATTAAGAATGTTACATAAAATATATCAAGATTATACAAGACATTTTGCCACTGAGAAGCTGAAGAAAGCAAGAAACAAAATTAAAACCACTAGCACGAATGAGAGTTCTAATAATTCAGGCAAAGAAATATTTGCTTTTAAAAAGAAAAAAAAATCAAGGCAGTCCTACAGACAAAGTCAGGACAATTTCACACCTACCTATAATCTTAATTTTCAGTACAACCATTAGGTTTGCAGCTCTCTCTAAACTAACTGTCTATAAATTGGTGACTATGGTTCCCTGTAGGTTTAAGAATGTACAAAGACATGACAATTTGTATTTGCTGTCATTTTAAGGAGGATATAGGAGGAAAGTAGAGAGCACCTAACTTGACAGGTCTTTCATAGAATACAGCGAGATGAATGCCTGTCTGCAACGCTGCAAAATTCTACAATCCCAATATCACAATAGTCCTATTCTGCACAGTTTTCCCTTCCCCCTTCTCTGATAAGGAGCAATTTTATGCTACAATAATAGTGGAGTCATGTTTGGAAACTATACGATAAGTTAGAGTACCTAAATATTTCCAAGAAAGTTTGAAAAAAAATATCACCAACTAAAAGACAGAGAACACACTCGTCAGCAGGCAAAATTGGGAACAATCCTTTATGTCTTCAAATATTTTCGAAAAATTGACATGCAACTTTAAAGGGATTAAGATTGGTATTTAATGAATTAAACTGATATTGGCTGGGAATTGTTTCATCGCTCCTTCTTTCACAACCCCACCCTCTAAAATAATTGCTTTGATTCACAAATGCTTCTGGAGGTTTTTATTGCCATCCTTGTAGCTTACTTTAGCCACAAGATTAGCCAAGTAGAAAGAGCCCCATGCCCGCAAACATATTCTCTTTTACATTTCAGCCAACAGGAAACTTGGATGAATCAAGTAAAAATTAAGTGAGACTCTTTCATTGCTGAATCGACAGAGATCTCTCAATTCTGCACTCCCACCAAAAAAAGAAGTGGTTTATCTTTCCAAAATTCAACCTTCAGTTACAGGATTTCTGAATTTTTAAAATACATATTTCCAGCTGAAAGTAAAATTTCCAAACATAAATCTAAACAATAAAATCAATTATTAGAAACAAGCTCAAAAAGTGTGATCTGTATTTCTCCCAAGGAACCTTCATCACTGCTCAAAAATTAGAGAACTGGCACCAGCATGGATGTTGGTGAGCACAGTAATCTAGACTTTGACACTATATTTGAACGAGAGATTGGGCAAGCGAGCAAACGCAGGAGTGCGAGAGAGCCACAGAAAGAGACAGCAGATGGATTTACTAAAGCAGCAACAGATTCAACAAATGAAGATGATATAGTTTTATTCCACTGGCATTCTAGTTGGGAGGATGGTTATTTTCTCCATTTTGTTCCATTGATTTAAAGCTGGTGACATGAGCCAAGGAATCAGACTTATGGGCTTCTGAATGTTTGCAATGAGGAACTAATCTCAACCTTCAACAGCCAAATATGTATTACACTGAGCGTAGATGTTCTCCGATTGCTGCTCTGCCCCGCGTAAAAGACCTTCACAACCTCGCTCGTTCCTACGTTCTTTCGTGAGCTATGAACCTTTCATATCTGTGAAATAACAGGAATTTAGAGTCAATAGTAAGATATTCTAGACATGTTAAATACTAAACCTGCTAACCTGAGATTCATATCCTCAAAATATTATCACTATTATATAGAGCAGGCATCAAAAGTAGGACAATCTGCTGGTACGTTCAAGTTACACATTTGCTTTATCAACTCAGCCAGTGAAGATACTAATAAAGCATAATGTAAGCACCTATGAACTAAAATAATATTTAAAATTATTTGCAATGCTAAAGCTAATCAGTCACAGAAACACAATGAATAGTCAAATCCTACAGCTAATGAAAAATACTGCCAAAAGTTTTCATTTTTAAGACTTTGCAGGTTAGAAGGTAAACTATAAACCTAACCCGGAAATATAATTTATGCTCCCAGTAAGCCTACCTAAAATCCACAAGGTGACACAAACAGATAAATATTGAAAGACAATTCAATTCATAGACGCTTAACATTGTACTGCATTGAACTGTGGAGTGGTGCCAAGTTTAACCCACATTATATATCAGGAAAGAGTCAGCTTTAAGTAGTCCCAGGTGATTTCATTGGAATAAGTAAAAATATTTCATATAAAAAGTTATAACATAAAACAAGATATGGATCAGAGCATTCACCCTCTTTCATAATTAGTGCTCAGAAGTTTCAACTGTCGAAAACAGGAAGATAGGGTCTTGGGTTAAAGACTCTCAGTACAGTCAGTACTGGGCTTACAGCAGTAGAACCCTACATTTCACAGTTTTTCCAGATTTGAGGTCAGTACCAAGCAGGAAGTTACAAGTGGATTCTAAATCTAAATTGAGCAAAGCGACAATAACTGCTGTATTTTTCAACCAGTGTGACAATCTAAAGAGAGTCCAGCTGCATTAACAGAATCAGAATTGATTAGGTAGTAAAATGAAGAAATGCAGATGGTGGAGATCTGAAACTGAAACAGAAACAGAAACAGCTGGAAAAACTTGCAAGTCTGGCAGCATCTGTGGAGAGAAAGTAGAGTAAATGTTTGAGTCTGATTTCTGATAAAAAGTCTCCAAACTCGAACAGTTAACTCTGCTTTCTTCACACAGAAGCTACCAGACCAGAGCTGGTCATTAATTGACATTGCCTCACCAATGATTAAAAAAATTGATTAGGCATTTCAAAAGTAAGGAATAAGCAAAATAAAATTAAACAACGGCATGGTCCAGATTTCCCACCTATTAACTGCGAAATAAATATATTAAATAAACAAGTTTTCCAGAGTACCAAAAACAATTTTAAAAAATTGCATTTCTTGCTCATTTCAAAATGTTGATAATGTACGGGAAACTGAACGTTGCTTAAGACAGAGACATTGCTTAAGACAGAGACATTGCTGAAATGTTTCACCGTGCCCTGATCAGGACAAACTTAAAAATGCTAAATTTCAAAGGATTGGTTGACAAGTCCCATGTTGCTTTCTCCATGGAAACATCTCGACCAATCAGTATCAACTTGCCATCCAGTATGGTCTCAAATTTCCATTTATTTAAAAATATTTCTTGATAGGACCCAGGCCTCAACTCTGAGCAATATCAATATGACTGCAAACTGATCTGAAGAGTTAATATGCTAACTGTGCCAACCAGTTTTGATAATCATACATAGTGTTGCAATACTCCAATCTATTTATTCATCAAGGTTTTTTTGTCAAATGAGAAGAAATATTTGAGTGCAGCAGGGTAAAAGGGAAAATATAGCCCTTTGTCTGTGACCTGAACACAGTCTCCCTGAAAATAACAAGCTGGATGCACCAATAACAGTGTATAGGGTCTAAACATGCAGAACACATTTGGTTCAGACAACGTTATTAGCCAGTAAAATATACACATTGTATAAGAACAGAACTCTGGTGTATTTTACGCAAGTGTCCGATTTACAGTCAGGTCAGACACTTACATAACTGCAGCACTCACCTTCAGCATCCGCTTAGGCTTCTAGAATCTATGCTACACTCTGGTCCTTTTGACATTCCCAACAGTTGTATTTCAAAAAAAAAAAATCAATAAAATTACTCAGTGAAGAGTCAAATTGGAGATCTGGCTGACCAGTTATTTACTGGATAAACTAGCTGCACCATCACAGGAGACAATAAAAGTACACCAATAAAATTTGTGATTTTTATGTCCTCTGTTTAAAAAAATGGATCCATGGTTTGAATAAAGGAAAAAAAAGTGTACTGCCAGTACTTTCACTGGTTCTGTTCGGTCCGCGTCAGATGCGCCAATGAGTTATAAAGTGTTATACTGTATCAACACTTTGCATTTCACATTTGTCGTACAAAATTTTCTAACATCTCCATACATTTAGCATCTTCAGAATCTATTAAAACAACCCACAAAAAGCACGAATCTGACCAAGCTAAGATTTGTTCGGCAGAAGGCTTTGCTTGTACTGCAAAGTGAACAATGAATAAACATCAGAAAGGGAAGAAGGTGTGCCACATTAAAAAGGTACAAGTCCAAACATCTTATGACAGCGTTCCATAATTAACTGGGATCAAATCCTTAAAGAGCTGACAATGCTGGCGAGGGGGGCGAGCTCCGATTTATGACCCTATACAACCACAGCACCAGAAAGAGCAGATTATCACCTGGCGTTATGGAAGAAGTCTTTAGAAGATAGAACTAACTCAACCCAACATATGAAAAAAAGTTGTTTGATCTTTTACAAATGAACTTCTGTGACTTATTTTCAGAAGTTTGTTTAAGCCACCTTCCAATATGTCAAACCATTTGATAGAAGCATTGTATACAAATCAGCATGGTTGTGGAAAGAAACAGGGAAAGGTAAGAAAATAAACCTAAAAACGGAACAAAATCAATTCTACAAAGCAATACATTACAGACATACCTAGTACCAGTTTCATAAAGAATCATCTGAGCTACTGAGAATGTCAATGGATTTCTACAAACTCTTCCAATGCCTGAGGAATCTGGCTTTTATAACTGATGTTATGAACTCGGACTGCTCGGGCAGCCAGGCACTTGAGGCTCATTTTCATCTGAGTCTTGAGGAGGATTTCAGACACACCAGTGGTGCTCTTGTCTAGTGGAGTCTTCTTCTGCTTGTTGGTCATATCAGCGTGAGCGCCAGCCTCCACCAGACTCATGATGATAGCATGCAGCGTGAGGAAGTCACTGATGGGCCGGTTGTACTGCACGATGATGTGCAGTGGCCCATTGCCATCCTTGTCCACGGCATTCATGTCAGCCCCACAGTCGAGCAGCAGTTTGGTAACCTGCGCACTAGGGAAGCTACACACGTCATTGGTGTGAAAATCATCCACTGGTGTGCCAGAGTTCACCGCCAAATGCAGCAGGCTGGAGCCCTCTCGGGTCCGGGGATCCAGGTGAATCAGCTTGTAGATCTGCTTGTTGATGCGGGCCCGCTCCTCCTCATTGCACTGGGTTTTGGTGGAGATACACACGAGGTATAAGAAGGTAAAAATGTTTGACTCACAATTGTCCATGGCTGCATGGAGGTCCACCTCAGAGGAGTCTTTGATCCGTGACAAACCCCTTTCTATTTCCAGGACACTGCATTTCAAGACACTCTCCACATCCCAAGGTTTCACCGGCTCATTCAAGTGTATCATCTGAGAAAAGACCTGAGCAAACCGCAAGAGATCTTTGTGGGTGTTTCGGTTTCCTTTCTGTCGCAAGTGCAAGGCATGGAGCCACAACTTTATGCACTGTTCAAACTCCATGTTGTCTGCATACACTGCCCCCCTGTAAATGATAGGATGGGAAACATCGATATTGTCAGAGCCCAGAATCCGCTCACGGACAATCAGCCCTTCCATGTGAAGGGCGTCCCTGTCCTGTTGGATGGCCTCGAGTTCCGATAGAGTCCTACACTCAGTCCGCCCGCTGTAAGCCTCGATGGAAGGCAGGGTGGATTTCTCCATTGGGTTGTTGGGGTCATGGTGTCGCTCAAGCATGGCTAGGTACAGATAGTGGTAGGTTTTCTCGATGTCATAGTTCTCCCGGTCGTTGGCAAAAGAGGCACCGAGCAGCTCCAGCGCCTCTATTCGGCTCCTCCGGTCGCAGTCCACATGCAACAGCAGCAGCTCCACCACATCTGCCTTGCAGCTCTCCGCTGCCACTTTGAGTGGAGTCATCCCATGGCCGTTCACCACCATGGTCGCCCGCCACTTCACCAGCTCCCTCACAATCTCCAGGTGGCCAGCTTCAGCAGCAAAGTGCAGTGCAGTGGCCCCACACTGCGCCTTGGCATTGGGATCTGCATGCTGCTCCAACAGGTACCTGAGAAAACAAGACAGAGCGCTTAGGAGAGCAGCAAAAAACTGTAGACACTGGCAATCGGAAAGCAAAAAATATTGAAAATATTCTGTTCAGCCAGCATCTGTGGACAGAAACAGTTAACATATCAGATTGTCAGAACCATAGAATCATTTAAGCCATAACAAAGAAATTCCCTGCACATATAGTAGATAAGGGCACAGACTGATGTAATGCAGCATTGCAAAGTGAAAAGTTCCAGATAAAGCGTATATTCTATTAAACGATCTCAGCTGAAGCATTAACGACATTGCTAACATCAGGAACCATGGATGGGTCAAGGAAAGGAAAAACATATAAATCAAAAACATTTGTACGAAAGAAAGCAAAGAAAGCAGGAAGCAAAGAAAGAAAAATATTCTCCCTTTTTATTGTTATCCTATGATGCTATTGGAACGTAAATATAATTTGCAGTGCCCTCCACAGTAAGGATGTGATAAGACTCAACCAAGGTACCCTCTCCTACTGAGTGATATAATCTGCTGACGCTGCTTCCAAGGCTTGTAAATAACTAAACAAACAAAACGTGATGGAGCATGGTAGCAGGCAGGAAAGGACTACACACCATTGAGGAGTCAGCACCTTCTAAAGAGGAGCGTAAGAAATTGAAGACAAAAAACTGGTGTGAGGAGAGAAAGAGAAAAAAAAGGATAACTGGTCAATTCCACACCACAATGTCGCAGCAGAGAAAGAAAATGTTGGAGATTGCAGGCACTGTTTAAAATTGTGGGGAAAGCAGACTCCGTGAGGTTCAAAAATGAGTGGACTAAATGCCTGAAGAGGACATTTGTCAATAAAAGGGGAAAGAGCAAGTGAGTGGGACTAACAGCATAGTTCAAGTCAGTACAGAATTGATGACTGGAATGAATTTCACAGCACCAGAACGAGGCCAATAATTTGAACTTTTAATATGGCAAGGATCCAGGTGCTGCACAGCGAGCCTCGCAAGTTAATGATAACCTAAAAATTAAGTTAGAAAGCAGTCACCTGAGAATCAAAAACCAAAAGAACTACGAATGCTGGGAATCAGAAACAAAAACAGAAATTGCTAGAAAAATTCAGGCAGTGTGGCAGCATCAGTGGAGAGATATTAGAGTGAACATTTCAGGTCCAATTCTGAAGAAAGTTCATTGGACCTTCACTGGACCGTTAACTGATTTCTGTCCACAGATGTTGCCAGACCTGCTGAGTTTTTCCAGCAATTTCTGTTTTCACACCTGATAATCAAGTTAGAAAGTAAGTAAACTGACAACTAGATGATAAAGAAAGGAAGTGGTTAAGTGCATCAATCTTTCACTTCAAACTGAAAATAACTAGGTGGGCCCTAAGTAGTTATTTCAAGAGGTTAGCTATCCATTTACTATCAACAACGCCCATGAAAAATTAGCAATTAATTGAATGATAAATAAACTTTCATTTATGTCACATAACACAATTAAACTGTGGAAGCTGTTTGTATGGCGAGCAGTCTGCCTCCTTTAGCTCAAAGCCACCTAAAAAGGAACGCACTGAGTTTGATCATTTTACTGCACTAAGCTAATTTAGAATCAAGACGAGCAGTTCAGCCTAACAGAGCTGACCACAACTTCAAGACAGCATACATAGATCAGGCTAAATTCCACCAGTCGTACAAGCCTCTGAAATGTCCTCTTTCCTTTCACTCTGGCTCTCGTGCATCCTCAATTCCCTCACCGTCAACTTCACAGGTCCCAAGTTGTGTAATTTCCACATTAAAAGAGGAGGGGTGGGACAAGGCTTAAAGACTCTCCTCAAAACATACCTTTTTAAACAACTTTCTGGTCACCTCTCTCAATATCTCAATTTGGTATGAAAATTAGAACGACAATTGGTTTTATTTTGCTCCATTGAGATGCCTGGGACTTTTCACTCCTTTAAAAAGGGAAGATGCTATAGAACGCACACTGGCAGCTATTTTAAGAGCTCTGCAGCGGCAGGACAAGGATCTGAAGGTGAAGTGCATCATACAGGCTTCCTGACATTCATCAGAGCTTAGAGCTGCAAACTGAATAAAAGATCATCCCTCATGAAAGAGAAATTAAAACTCCAGATATGTGAGAAATACACATCCAAATACACAAAAGATTACACTAATGCTGCCTTGTGCACCTTAGGAAAAGAGCAATCCATTGCAAAGCATTCCATTTAAAATAGTTCAAACTATGAATGGTGGCAAAAAAATGGAAAAATACTCAGAGGGAACAAATCCAAAACACATGTCTGAAAGTGTAACTGGTCACATCCCAGCATTCCTGTTATTACAGTAGTAATCTATGGATCTCATTAGCCTGTTTAAAACATCTGCAGGGCATTTTCCTCAATTTAGGTCACAACTATGAACAATTTTAAGTGAATAAATGCACAGTTTACTCAATAGAACATTTTAACTCTGAACTAACTTGTATGTGGCACCTTTTCAGTGCCAGTCACCAAATACTGAAGCTCCTTATGAACACCAATGAGCCAGTGTGAAGTTTGTGATTATTAAGATGTGAGAAAACAATGGCCTTTTTACATATCTAAAGATCCATAGGCAGAGAGATGAACCTGGTTTTGGTTAAGGAAGAATGTTGACAGGGACTACAGGTGTACTTTCTCCAGCTCTCCTCAAATGTATCATTGGATTTTTACATACATTTCGCTTTAGTGTCCCATTTAAAGTACATTGCCTGGAACAATATTCTCTTGGTTTTACATTAGAATAGTGGACCACAATGACTAGTACACATACCCTGATACTGATGGGCTATGGCAGGCTTCCACAAGCTGACTAATCAGGAACATACCTTGGTTTGGATGCAGTTTGCAGAGGTTAACAGAATTACTTACAACTCATTCTTTCACAAAGAGGACACTGATGCCTGAAAGTGATACTGAAAATATTGTAAAGCAATTTTCATCCTCTAAGAAATAAAGGTTTCTTTCACTCACCCCATTCACTAGTCCCACAACCTCTTTGTAAAAAGCAACTTGCATATATATATCACTTTACACAGGCAGATATTTCAAATTACTCTACACAGGCAGACATTATTTCAAATTACTCTACAGTGAATTAAACTGTTTTTGAAATGCTGTTATTGATTATTTGTAGGCAAGCCCTACAGCCATTGTACAAAAAGCAAGATCACACAAACAACAATAAAATGGAGGACTTTTGATCTTGCCTTCTTTTAAGATGAGGGACCAATATTGGCCAAGACATCCCTGCTCTTCTTGGAATAATGCCGCACTACTTTAGACAAGCTGATGCTCCCTTGGTTTAATTTTAGTTTGATAAGCTCCAGTAAATCAGCAATCCCTTAATCTCAGTTGATAGTCAGTGCAGCATTGTCAAAACTGTCCTGGAGAGAGAGACCTGAAGCCGCAAGCTTCTGACTCAGAGACAAGATTGCAGCTAAAGGTCTTGTAGAAAGATGGTGTGCCCATTGTTACACTAGACAGAAAAGTCAATAAACATAGAAAGGCAGATATTAATGCAAGGTACTCCTCTGTGGAAAACAAAATGGCCAAGCATTTAACTAAACAAATCCTCTGGCCAAACAGTTAAATACTAAATGAACGCAAAGTGTCTAACAAAATATCTCACTGACAATAGATGGCCTGCGTTATAAAAAGCAAAAAATAATACATGCCGAATAAAATAAGGAGAGATCCAAAATGGGATCTCGAGGTTTGGTAGAAAAGAAAATGAAAGGAAGCAAACAAGTACTGGATAAATTCAGGCACACAGATTAATGCATTTTATATACATTGATTAACATATTTCAAAAGTGTAATTAATTTACAGCTAGATTACCCCTCATGTTTTACTGTTTATTATTGCTACAATAGTGGTTGCTTCAGTGTTAAGGTTCCTGAACTCTCTGACAGCTTCAAGTTTGAAAAAGAAGTGCTGACTTGGAAGCAGTGAGATTTTATATATGAAAATAATTAGCAATTACAGCGATAGCAAAAATATTTAGCTGACAAGCAACAATCCCAATCCACTTGGTGCATTGTTTTCAAAACCAACTACCCCCCAGTGTATGAACTAGTGCTTGTTAATTCAAAATTGTCCTTTTGCATGCAACAGAAAAATGGAATCATGCAGCCATTTGAAGTAAGCAATTTAATTAGATCAGATTTACCTCTCCTGAGGTTGCCAAAAAAAAGTCAGTAGCTATTACAAATTAAATGATTTATGAATTCGAAGGAGATGTCTGGAAATGGTGCAGAGACCACAGAACACAGTTCTTGTTCAGGAGCTTTAATGAGGTGTTCAAAGTTATAGGTAAACATTGATAAGCATAGAAGAGACATTTAAGGTAATGGCAAAGAACCAAAAAGGAGCTGAAATGAAGTGAAAGTCTTCACTGTCCTAGAGGCTCCTCTTATAGAATTATGACTGGTGATGAATTTAGTCAAGAGGTTGAATTAACAAGGACTTTGTGGTGACCTCTGCGGGTACATGAATCAAAGCCATGCTTGGCATCACTGCATTACATATCAGCCAAATCAGCCAAAAAAATTTGCGAATAAAACACCTCTGACCTCAAGTCCATCAGGAAATGGTCAGCATGTAATGTTCTTGAGAGCCCACAGGGGGGGAAAAAAAAAAGAGCGGGTAGATCCTGTCACATGGTTCCCCGAGTTGACTGTCAAAGTCATTTGGTAGGATGCCCCACCACCAGAACTCTGCAGCAAGCACCAAGACACAGTTTGGCTGGTGGTAAGAAGGGCACTGCCCTTCAGATCCTTCAAGCACACCAAGTCTTTGTGCACCAACGTATGCTGCCCTCAAAGCAGCTGCACTGGTGAAGAGACAGTCAGTCATATCCTCTGGAAAGTGTTTGCAAAGAAGGTCTGAAGAGAGATGCAGTAGTTTTCATCAAGGTTCGCCCCAGGCAGCTCTGTGACGCAGGACTATGTGCTCCATAGGTCACTCCACAGGATGCACATCAAGACAAATCATCAATTCAGTTAAAGATGCTCTGTGGTCTGCCCAAAACTTGTTAGCCGCAACTGAATGTTGCAGACTAGCACACTCCAAGGTTCAGGATTACATGCCAAGGGATGCACTAGAACTTGGCGCAGCTGCCACCAAGTTGCAGTGGGGAAAGACCATCAACTAGGCTTTCTCTGCCAAAGCATAAGAAGCATTCGATCAGTTGTCAGACCCTCTCAGTGTCTCAAATAAACATAATTATAATTATAGTTACCAGGATAAGTAGGAAATGCCTTTGTTTTTTGCAACTGTAGAGAAGTTGAGAAATGTCAAAATTCCATTTCTTTTTCCTCTGCAAATATGATTTAGAATCTTTGTATATACTCATAGATGATTTTTATTTAAAAAAAAAATCAGCCAACTGACCCAATGGACCCTCAAAAGTTTACATTTCCACATCAAGTTAGAACAATCAATTGGTTAAAAGGAATTACTATTGAAGGACCAAGGGAAAAGAACAAAGTGAGCATGGGGTTCATTGGATAGCTACAACAGTTCAAAATTAGACCAGGCTAAGAATCTCAGCGTTGTGTGACTGAAGCACACAGTGCCCTTGATATTGTTCGGGTGTAAGTTTCCTTTCAGGATGTGTGCATGTGAAGATTTTATTTCACTGTGGCCTGAGCATTTGTATATACCATACAGTAGCCAGAATTTGAAATTATCACATATAATATCAGTCTTAACCCATTTGTTATGTTGGGGTTAATATACTTTCCTATCCTATTGATATAATATTACTCTCAGCATAGACATCTTTACACATACCTCTGAACAGAACATTCTTCTCCAAATCACAGCAACTAAAGTTTTATAACCCATAATAAATGCTGCATGCACTAACACCCTTTGTAAATGTCCTTGAATTGTTACTTCCCATTCGGATTACCATTTCACCACAATCCCATTTGTTACTAGCCTCCCTGTCCAAATATAAGCCGCCAAGGAAGGGTCTTGCAGCACACTGATAATGCCCCTACCTCTGAACTGGAAAGTCCGGGTTCAAGACCCTAACAGAACAAATCAGAAGATAATGAGGACATGCTAAAAAAAAAAAAATTAATCACAGGTCATTTTTGCCTTTGTATAGATTGAGATGGTCAGATTGACAGAGGGAGCAGTGAGGAAGAATTCACTAAGTGTATTTGAGACAGTTTTCTAGAACAATATGCAGTAGATCCAACCAATAAATCAGGTTATTCTGGATGTGGTGATGTGTAATGAGCTCGGTTTAATAAATGATGTCAGAGTAAAAGATTCCCTCATGAACAGTGACCATAACATGCCAGAATTTAGCAATCACCTTGAGACGAGGGACTTGGGTCAGAAACAACTATGCTAAGCTTAAATAAGGATAATTACAAAGGAATGAGGGGACAGCTGGCTGGAGTGGACCAGGAAAGGTGTTTAGCAGCAAACACAGTTGAGGAACAATGTTTAAGAAATAGTTCATTGCTCTTAGCAAAGACATAATTGAGTGAGTGTGAAGGATTCAAGGAAGGGAATAAGCCTACCATGGTTAACCAGGGAAGTTAAGGATGATGAAGGATCTAGGCCTGAAACGTCAGCCTTCCTGCTCCTATGATGCTGCTTGGCCTGCTGTGTTCATCCAGCTCTACACCTTGTTATCAGATTTTCCAGCATCTGCAGTTCCTACTATCTCTGAAGTTAAGGATGGCATCAGATTGAAAGAAAAAATGTGGCAAATATTAACGATAAGCCAAAAGATTGGGAAAGTTTTAGAAGCAAAACACAACCAAAAAAGTAATAGAGGGAACAAAACTTTCATAGTAAACTTGCAGTATTATCAAGATTGACAGCAATAGCTTCTTTACATATATAAAGAGAGAGAAGCCAGAGTAAACACAGGTCCCTAAGAGAATGAGATGGGGAATAACGAGGAACCAGGAAATTACAGAGGAGTTGAATAAATATTTTGTATCTGTTTTCACGGAAGAAGACATTAATAGCATTCCAAAATTACTAAATATTCAAGGCGCAAGAGGAGGAGTGAAAATAAATGCAATAACTACAGAAAACGTCTTAGGGAAACAAATAGGACCAAAGACCAGTGAGTCCCCTGGATCTGACGGGATGCATCCTAAGATATTAAAGGAAGTAGCTATGGAGTTAGTGGATGCACCGGCAGAAACTTTCCAAGAATCCTTAGAGTTCAGAAAAGTCCCAGAAGAGTTAGCTAAAACAGGCTTACAAATAGGAGGCAAATGGTGATGGTGGAGGGTTGTTTTTGTAATTGGAAGCCTGTAACCAGCAGTTTACCACAGGATTCGATGCTGGGACAATTGCTGTTTGTACATTAACAACTTCGATGTGAACGTAGAAGATATAAAGTAAGTTTGCAGATGACACAAAAGTTGGCAGTGTTGCAGATAAGAAGGAGGATGGTCTGATATTGAACAGCTGGTAAATTGGGCGGAACAATGGCAGATGGAATTTATTTCTGGTAAGCGTGAAGTGATGCATTTTGGAAGCTCTAAAATGGGAATAACGTATGGTAGGTCTTCAGGGAGTAGTGAGGAACAAAGCGTCATTGTTGCACAAGTCCATAAATCGCTGAAGGTGTCAGCACAGGTGACAGGGTGGTAAGAAGGCATATGGTATCTTGCCTTCATTAGTGAGGCTTAGAGTATAGAAGCAAGAAAGTCCTTATAAAGATTTTATAAAACACTGGTTACGCCACAGCTGAAATACTATGTGCAGTTCTGGTCACCACACTATCGGGACGCATGTGATTGCGCTGGAGACGGTGCAGAGCAGATTCACTAGGATGCTGCCTGGAATGGCAAGTCTCAGTTATGAGGAGAGACTGGATAGGCTGCGTTTGTTTTACTTGGAGCAGAGAAGGCTCTGGAGGGGATCTGATCGAGGTATACAAAATCATGAGGGGCACTGACAGAGCAGATTGTGAGAACCTCTTCCCCATGGCTGGTGTGTTTAAGGTGAGGAGTAAGTGATTTAAAAGGCAGAGGAAAAATAATTTCACCCAAGACGTATGGAATGTGCTACCTCAGAGGAGAGGTGGAGGCAGGTACTCTTACAACATTTAAGAAGCATTTGGATGAGCACTTAAAATGCCCAGGCAGGGTAGGCTATGGACCACGTGCGGGTAACTGGGATTACAGTAGCCTGGTATGTGTGATTGGCAAATACGCGGTGGGCCGAAGGGCCTGTTTCTAAGCTGTATGACTCTATGATTGGAAAACTGCCAATGTAACACTTTATTTTAAGAAGGAGACGAGAAACTGGTAACTATAGGCCAGTTAGCTCAACATCTGTAACTGGAAAAACATTTAAGGTCGATGATGAAAGGTGCAATACCACAGCATTTAGAAATACACAATAGGTTCATAGCTTCATGAAGAGGAAGTCAGGCCTGACAAGTTTACTAGAATTCTTTGAGGTAGTAACAAGTAGAATGGATGAAGGGGAAAACTGAAAGTAACACATTTCCATTTTCAGAAGAATGTTTTATAAAGTACAATACATTAGCCTACTTAAGATAAATGCCCATTGTGTGAGAGGTAGTATATTAGCATGGATAGATGATTGACTAACTGTTAGAAGACAGAAAGATGGGCTAAAAGGGGGCATTTCAGGATGACAAACTGTAAATTGTGGCGTGCTGCAAGGGGCAGTGCTGGTGCCATAATGATTTATGATGTACATTAAAAGGAAAGTGAATGTATATAGCCATGATTGCAAATGACAAAAAAAAGGTGGGAAGACAAGTGGTGCAAATGACACTGTCTCCAGAGAGATATAGACAGGTTAAGCAAGTGGGTGAAAAACTTCACATAAATGTGAAACGTTTGGAGGAATTGTCTTACGAGGAGAGGTTGTGTAGATTGGGTTTGTGTTCATTGGAATAAAGAAGAATAAGAGGCAATCTTATTGAAACATACAAAATTCTTGGGAACTTGACAGGGTAAACTTGGAAAGGTTGCTTCACTTTTTTGGAGCCTCTAAGGCCAAAGGGGGTTGCACATTTAAGACAGAGGAGGAGGAATTTCTTCTATCCTAGCGTAGCAAATCTGTGGATTTTTTCACTACATGGGTTGTAGATGCTGGGTCATTAAGTATATTCAAAGCTGAGATGGACAAGTTTTTAAATTAGTAATGAAATCAAGGGTTTTGGAAAAAGGCATGAAGTTTGAGCATCATCAGGTCAGCCAAGATCTCACTGAATGGCCGAGCAGACTCAATGGGCTACATTGGTTACTACATTTTATGGTCTGGCCCAGTGGCAATAAATACTCAGGTTGGTCCTGCCTGCTCCAAACTATTTGCAATTCTCTAAGCTGATCATCACTAGATCAATGGCCCCAATATTCTTAGGTTGTAAGACATCCACCGCCTCCCCCACCTCCTCATACCCCAGCCTCAAATCCCTCCCACCTCTTCACCAATCCTGACCACCCTATCCTCATACCCCTTTCAGTCCAAATGGTAACACCTCCCCCAATATGTCATCCTATTCTCACGTTCCACTATCCCCACATATCCCTAGAGTGGAGACTGAAGGGTGACCTTACAGCAGTTTATAAAATCATGAGGGGCATAGATACAGTGAATAGCCAGGGTCGATTCCCCAAGGTGGGGAGAATCCAAAACTAGAGGTCATAGGTTTAAGGGGAGAGGGGAAAGATTTAAAGTGGACCTAAGGGACAACATTTCCATGCAGAGGGTGGTGCATGCATGGAACTAACATGGTGGTCGTTGGTGCAATTACAACATTTAGAAGGCACTTGGATGGGGATATGAACGGGAAGGGTTTGGAGGGATATGGGCCAAATGGAACTAGACTAATCTAGGTCAGCATGGACGAGTTGGACCGAAGGGTCTGTTTCCGTGCTGTGCAGCTCTATGACTCTATATCAGCCCAGGCCCATCCGCAAACCCCACCAACCAGCCATCCCCAGCCGAGGCCCGCTCCTACCTGACCACCTCGGCGTGCCCCTTGTACGCGGCGATCATCAGGCAGGTGTTGTCGTATTTGTTGGCGATGCGGATGTCCGCGCGGTTCTCCACCAGGTAACGGACGATGTCCAGGCGGCCGTCGAAGCATGCGGCCCGGAGCGGGGTGGAGTTGGTGGCCGTGGTGTGGTTGACATTGGCGCCGTTAGCGACCAGGAGCCGAACGACCGGGAGGTGCCCCGCTCCCGCCGCACACCACAGGGCGGTCGCACCGTCGATGACGTAGCCATCGAAGCGGACGGTGCCGGTCTGTTCGGTCTCTACCCGGTAATGTTCCAGCAACAGCTTCACTACCTTAGTGTGACCGTTACGGGCGGCGGCGATGAGGGGGGTAGCTCTCTGCCCGGAGCCAGGCCCGGGCCCAGGCCCGGCTTCAGGCCCCGGGCTCACCTGTGCCAACAGCCGCCGGCTCTCGGCCTCCGAGCGGTTGAGCAGCAGCGCGGCCAGCGTCAGCACCCGGCCCTCACTCGCCGCCTTGTACACATAGGCCGCCAGCGACTCCATCAGCCACCGGATCCTCTCCTCATCGCCGCTGCCTCAGGCTCCCCACCGCCGGCGGACACACCGCCCGTTCCATTTTTTAACCCCCCACTTCTTCCCGCTCGCTTCCGATCCGTGCACCGCCCCAACCTTCCCCACGGCTCTTCCGGCTGAGGCCTGTGCAACCCTGACTGGGCTCCGGGCGGAACAAACATACTGCTCCACAGTCATAATAACCCCCTCAACTCTTTCAACAGACCTTCCCCCGCCTTTTAAGTACATTTTCTAATTTCTCCTTCATCACGTTCAACAAGCTTTGTTTGTTTTCATATTTCAAATGCATTTGATTCCTCCTTTACACGTTAACAAACTTTATGCTTTTAAGTACTTTCATTTACCCTTCAGTTTCAACAAATCTGTTTATTCACTTTGATGCTTGCAATATATTTTTTTTTAATTCCCACACTTTCAGCATACTTTCTTGTCCCCACCCTTTTATGCTTTGAATACATCTTACTTCCTCTTCATACTTGAAAGTAACCTAATTCTTCCCTTGAATTTAAAAGCATGTTCTAATCCCACCCCCTCCCAATACTCTAAAACAAGATTTCTTAAATCCCACTTTCACTCTACAAACTTTTCCAATTCACCCTTTATATTTTAAGGCAAGCTTCCCTCAATCCACCCCATCCCTTTCCACCTTGAAAGGAACTTTCCCTAATACTTCTATTGAACTTGATAGAAAGGTTTCCTAATTCTGCTTTATACTTTAAAGCACACTTTCCCAATTTCCACCTTTCGTTTTAATGAAAGATTTCATGATATTCCTCTACAATTCTCACTTTAAAACAAGCCTTTCTTTTCTAATTAAAACAAACTGCTGAAGAAATTCAGGAGTTCTGGCAGTATCTCTGGAGAGATAAAGTCAATACTTCCAGTCTGATATGGCTTCTTCAGAACAGGAGAAGAACTACTATTCTAGAAAGTCATACTGGACCCAAAACATCAACTCTTTCTCTCTCTCCACTAATGCTACTGGAACTGCTGAGTTTCTCCAGCATTTGGTTGTTTTTTTTTGTTTCAGATTTCCAGCATCCACCATGTTCTGCTTTTGTTCACTTTCCAAATTCTCCCCTTACATTTTTAACAAACAGGTCTGCCTTTTTCTCCATCCTGCCAGTTTTGTTTATAGGATATATTCCTGGAGGAGTTATTACATAACCTTATCAAGCCAAAAAACTATTTTACTCCAGATCTGCAATATTGCTGTAATTAATTATCAAAAAGTTTTCAAAGTAAATTAAAAATAAACACTATTTCTGGCTTTTCTCCCTATTGCTCACAGATGTGTCTGAGAACTAAATTGGTTAATTCTTGGAGAGTTAGCAGCCCATAACTAATGCTGGCTACTCATTTTAAAGTTTTTGCTCATGGAATGAATGTGATTGGCTGAATAACCTCTTGTGCTATACCATTCTATCAGGTCTGCACTGAACCTTCACAAAAACTAACAAGCAAATCACAGTCTGTGGTTCATTCCTCACCTGCAAATATTTTCTCACCCATAATTCACAAACAAGCTGGTCAGAAACAACTGACACTTGTACATATACTAATCACAAGAATGAATGCTTTCTCTGCAATCATTGGCATGTCCTATATGCAAAACAAAAATACTGCCAAAATTTAGACACCATGTGTAATTGTCAATCAATCTTATGCAAAATTATTGTTCATTCTCACCTTTTCACCTTCCTGTTTAATCTTCTGCCATGTACGTTCCCCTCCTCATCACAAGCTGTCTCCCATCAATGATACTGTGCACACCTTGCAGAGGCAGCAAACACCGTTTGGTGCCTGTTTGCCCTACCACATGACGGTCAGCCACTAAATGAAGCTCAAAGTTCAATGTCACGTGTGCCACCTGGGTCCCATTTCATGAAAAAGGAACATTTTGCAGCGGGATGGTTCAACAAATGTCAATTCCTACTGTCCTCCCCCCCCATTAATGATCCCAATATGTGAGGTTAGCAATCTATTCCCTCAGAAGAGGCATCACAGCTGAACAGAAACTAATCCTCACTTAATGTCCAATTAAGGGCTATAATAACTAGGACAACCAACAGGGAAAGAGGTGCTGACTGATTACTTCCAAACTGAATGGTGAGAAAGGTCAAGGGATAAGAGTTTACACTGTATTCAAATATCTTCATTGCTGGTCTTTGTGGCCCCTTGATCATACCTCTCTACAAACCTAATGGTGGTCTCTGATTTCAACCAGTTAGCTATTAGCCCAATGTCTCAGGAACTTTCTTCATTCATTTGCAGGATATGGGTGTTACTAGCTGGGTCAGTACTTACTTCCCATTTCTAGTTGTCCTTGAAGGTGAAGTGCCTTCTTGAACCTCTGCAGCCCATGTTCTGTAGGGACAGTAAAGGAAGGGTGCTGCTTTTCCAAGGCAGAAGGGTGAGTGATTTGGAGGAGAATTTGCAGATGGTGGTGTTCCCCCTTTTACCTGCTGTCCTTGTCCCTCTCAGTGATGGCCCTGCTGGGTTTGGAAGGGAAGCTGAGTTGCCATCCCTAAAGTTTCTTTAAGTTGTTTCTTTTGGGGCCATTTGTCTAAAATTCCACGCTGTACATAACCCGGTGCTTCATTTCGCTTTAAAACATGAAGAGATTTGGGATGAAGTTCAAGGCGCTACAAGAACGCAGGCTGTTGATCAGCATTTGGGGTGTTCACCGGGAGGCGTGTCTGTAGTACAGCCAACCACTGAGTTTCTGCAAAACTCTTTTTTTTAAAAAAGAAAACCCTCTTCCCAAACCATGGGAATAAATGAATGAATGAATGAATGAATCTCGATGGCGATAGCGGAAGACGGGAGGCGCTCGGCGCTGCCGCTCCTCCTACGCTGCCTCTCGGTCACATGCAGTGACTGGGTCCGGGCTCTTAATCTGCTCTTGCTGGGGAGGGAAGGAGACTGGGACAAAACTAAACCTCTCGCAAGAAGGGAACCTTTTTGCAGAGGAAATAGAAGACACAAACAGAAAAGAGCAGACAGAGGCAAACCCAAAACATGCGGAAGCGACAGCAATCTCCTGTGCAAACTCCTTTCTTCGTCCCCAGGTTTGGTCCTTTTATACTGGTTTACATTGTACTCTTTGCTGTTCTGTTTTATTTGAAAGGAGTGAGGCCACGGCGGCTTGCAGGCCTGTCAACTCAGAAATACTTGTGTGAATTTGTTTTCTCATACAATACTTCACCCTCCCTTTGTAAAAAAGAAACACCTCTCTCTCTTGCACCGACCAGTCTGAAGACCTCAGGATTGTTTCCAAGTGCTTTACACTAGAAGTTCTGAAGTGCCAACACACTGTTGAAAGAAGCACCAAACTGTGCACAGGAAGCTTCCATAAAGCAACAACGACCAGATAATCTGTGGTGTGGGTGTTTTGAGGGATGAATATTGGTTTTGCTTCATAACAGTCACCAGGGGAATTTCTTTTTCCCACCTGCTCTCAGGTGGGATCTTAATGTTTACTCTTCCTTCTGAAAGGTAGCACCTCTGTCAGTGCAGCACTCCCTCAGCACTGCACTTACTGTAAGCTTAGGTTTTGTGCGTCAGTCCAAAAGTGGATCTTGAACTGTCAATTATCTGAGTGCTGGCCGCTAATTGACTGTTTAATCCTTGCTGCAGAGTTAAACTCCACAGCACCAGCAGAGTCCTAATGTTAACTTCCACTTTTTTTAAGAAAAATACTCTATGGACTGTTTCTATATCAGTATCGGTGGCATTGATATCAATTCAACTCAAATAGGATTTAATTCTGAATCTTTTTAAAATCAATTTTCCCACTCCCTTCATAACGTGCAACTCCCAAGGTTGCTAGGAATGGGATAGAAGCAAGAATAACAATGCTGGGAATGTTCATGTTTTTCACTTCTCTTGTGATGCTGGGGATGAAATTGGCTTTGCTTGAAAGCAGCAGATAATGGACTGTTCAGAGAGAGAGAACTGGGCAGGCTACACAATGGGTAGTTAAAGCTCTGCAGCCCCTGTGACAATGTCACCTGAGACCAATTCTGCCCACTTCAGACTTTTTTTTTTGCACCTGTGTTCACTCCCTTCCTGCCCTTTGTGACCATTGTCTATGGGGAAGCACGGACAGGCAGTGTCTTGGCTATTCAACTGCGGGTGCCATCACAAACACTAGATTATCAGAAATAAACAATAATACACTAGGGAAGAAAAACAAGTGTTGATTGCAAGGTTAAAGGAATGAGGATTATTCTGTTTATTCTTTCAGCTCTTAGTACACCATAAGTGTATTTCCATTAATTCAAAAACCACAAAAATTTGCAGGAGTGGACCATTTGGACCCGCAAAGGCTGATTTTCTGCCCGACCCCCACCATCAAGTCAATAAGACCATGGCTAATCTGATTGTGCCCTTGACTTCTTTCCTGCCTTGGGTAGATCTAACACTGCCTTGAGGATGTTCATTGACTGAACCTTCACTGTTCTCAAGTGGTGAATTCCTAAGATTAACAAACCTGTAAGACCCTCCTCTGTTGGAAATCAGGTTCCTTATTCTGAAACTACGGCCCTAATTCTAGATTGCGCCCCACCCCGCCCCCCCAAACAAGGGGAAATGTCCTCTCTGCATCTACCCTGTCAATGTTCTTATGATTTCATGAGTTGATGTGGTTCACACTTTTCTGCATTAAGATAAACCTTTAGGTTAATTATGCTAGCTTTCCATTGACTAAGTTTGCTCACAATATTTCAATTTGTTTTTCCAGCAGAAACCTAGCCAACTGGCACTCACCTGTATCAGTGTTCGTTTTGTGCCACTGAAGTGGTTTAACAGTCACGTAACTACTCGTGTAATAGCGCGAAGGACATTAATCCCACTCTAGAATGTGAGAGCTACTAGTAGAACTATGCTGGTGAACTTATCCTGCTGACTCACATGATACAAATGAAGCTGTCTGCACTGTGTTGTAATGTTGTAGTCTTCTGCCTTGCTAGCAACACATCCAAGGTTAAAATGGGTGAATGCCAGCTCGCTTCTCAGCGCATGTGTGGATAATATCAGAAGCACTTACAGCTCTGTATTATCCCTGTCATGTTGAAAAATGATAGATATTGTTTTGGGGCTAGAGGGCTCAAAGATTGAAAGTGGCAACAGGGGACTGAGTTGGATGATCAGCCATGATCGTTTTGATGCAGTAGGCTCAAAGGGCTGAATGGCTTACTCCTAGCTTCTATGTTTCTAATACCTGGGGAATGTAGTGTCCCAACCATCAAGGAGTCTTCTAGCCTGGACACTAACTAAGCAAAGTGTTAATGTCCAACAAATATGGATGATTGAATGTATTTGGCACGTGCATTTTGCATGATTTACATCCTGACAGCTTTTGTATTCCCCTGGAAGAGGCTAGTTGAGCTTAATTAACTGCCACATTTTGGGGGGTGAAACTTGGCGAATTGTTCTGGGTCCCTTTGGACAGTTCTGGGGCTAAGAATTTCTCATTTGGCAGTTTGGGCTTAGCTGAGCAGTCTGAGGGTGCTAGGGGACTGCAACTATTTGACACTTTATAGTAACATGTTGCCAAGTAAGGTGAGCAACATAGGTTTTAAAGATCAACTGCATGTTGAAAGTTAGCACGGCAGAAACATTGTTATTGTTTTTTAACTTTTTGAAAAGGATAGTGAAGTTCATTGTTTGTCCTGAGTACTGTTCATTTAGCTTGTTAAATTCAATTGTCATTGTGAGAATGCAAGAATAATGCTCCAAACGTTGTCCCTGTGGAGCTTAGCCAACTCGGAACTGATCAAAGAGCCAACCACAAAAAGTCTATTCTCTTAAGCCACTGGGAGATTAAAGAGTTTGGAAAACAATGATTTCTAAATGACAGAACTGAATATCAAGTCTTTCTCAGACGGCTAATGCTTACTACTTATTTGTAACTCATATACAACTTAATAGATTTTAAAACATTTAAATGTGACTTACTTTCAGTGAGTGTCCGTGGTCAATGAACGTGACAGCAATGATAATGATTTAACCTTTATGATGTAAGCAGTGGTGATGAGATTGTCATGTGACTACAAAAATGGAGCAGACAGATTCTTACTCCAGGGATTGTTATTGCAAGTGGAAATCTGTGACGAAGATGCCCCGCAATTACTTGCCTGAATTTGTTTCCTGTCTATCCTGAAGGCTGCACTGTTAAGGTGCAATTCTACAGGCCCTTGGAGTACTTTGTGTACACAGTCAGTCTTTTATATAAACGTAGACAGTGATACAGCTAGGTTTTGGTGACTTGGGACGTGTGTTGATTTCAAGATTCAGTCAACTTGGCAGGATGGGGACCGAGCTGTGTTCACCAGGGAGTGGTGAGGGGCAAAGACTGAGCTGGGGACTGCACAGAGATACCAACAGAAACTTCAAAATTAAACAGGTTGCAATGCAGGCAGTGCTGACTGGCCACAGTGTGAATGGAAGATTGACCTGTCACCTCCACCTCTGCCACTGAACTTTGGCAGAAACTGCAATTGATCTCATCTTGTCTCAGCCCAACCTGTGCACCCACATCCATTTCCACTCCCACCTGGGATCTGGTTCCTAATGTTTCTCTCCCGGTTGAGATTAGCTAGCCTAATGTAATAAAGAGAGTGGAAAAACTCAGCTGGTCTTGTAGCATCATAGAATCCCTACAGTTTGGAAACGGGCCCTTCAGACCAACATGTCCACACCGAACCTCAGAGCATCTCATCCACCAACAACCCACCTAATCTACACATCCCTGAACACTATGGGGTAATATGGCATAGCCAATCCACCTAGCCTGCACATCTTTGAACTGTGGGAGGAAACCCAGGCAGACACAGGGAGAATCTGCAAACTCCACACAGTCACCCGAGGATGGAATCGAACCTGGGTCCCTGGTGCTGTGAGGCAGCAGTGCTAACCACTGAGCCATCATAACGCCCAAGTTCGTTGAGGGGGGTGTCCAGATCTTTGCAAAGTCATCTTTGGATTTGAAATATTGACTTTCTTTCTCCACAGACCTTGCCAGACCTGTGGAGATTTTCCAGAACTTTGTTTTTATTTCGGATTTCCAGCACCTGCAGTGTTTTCCATTTATGAATGTAGTTTGGAACTGCAAAGCTTCTGATCTGTGTGGACTAGTAGTCAAGTGATTTCTGTAAATATCAGGACCTGAGAGAGTCACAACCAAGTGCTTTGAGCTGTGCTTAGCCGCACTCGAGATGACAGGTTAAACCTCAGTGAGATTAAAAGATGAATGTGCATTATTCATGGTACAAATAGGCATTGAGTGCTTTTGAAAACTACAGAACAGATCTGTCATTTCTTCTGATATCTAAAAGTTTTCAAACTCCTCATCTCCGTAATCTCACCACAGTATGCAGCCTGAGGTTGCAATCATTTGAGTCGCAGTTATTCCCTTGGCCTCTTGTCCAAATAGTTTAAAAGTTTAATTTCAGAACATATGTCAACTTTCCTTTTGAAAACAGTTGTAGATGCTGCTTCCACTATTGCTAATCTACACCCTTACAAGTCTGAAAATAGGCTTTCCCCTAACTGCCCTTTTGTCCCGTAGCTTTCTTCAGCTTATCTCTCATCCTAAAACTAAGACTCTGACACTCCAAATGTAATTGTTGGCACAGGACAGGCTGGAGGTATCAGACATGGGGAGTCTGTGTCAGTGAGCCACAGCAGACACCACAAATCCATTTAATGTTTTACAGCTTTATATCCTCTGGTTCCTCCTCCCAAAATATCACTCCATATTTCTACAAGTGAGATTTTACTGGAGTTAAGCATGATTGATCAGGGCCTAGGATGGAGTGTCTCTCAGTGATGCTTCAGAAGAGCAGTAGGAGACTTTTTTGTTAAGAGACACTTGGTTAAGAATAAACTGTGTTTTGTCATTGTTATTTTGTAGGAATGTAGGAAAGGAGCCTGAGGTCCTGGACAAAAAGCCTCAGTTCCACCTGGATCTTTGGTTTTATTTCACCGTGCAGAACTGGATCCTGGATTTTGGCCGTCCAATTGCAATGGTGAGTCCTGAGTTGACAAATTTGTGTTAACTGAATGGAATCCTGGGACTTGGAAAAGTGTGCCCAGTCACTACCCAGAGCTAATGCTGCTTCTCTGGAGAAGGCTGACAGGTGACCCAATAGAGGCCTTTAACATTCTGAAAGGGTTTGGTACACAATAGATAGAGATGATGTTTCCATTTATTGGGGAGACTAGAACTCGAGACCATCAATATTAAACAATCAGTAATAAAATTAATAGGGAATTCAGGAGAATGTGGGATTCCCTACCACAAGTTGTAGAACTAAAGGGTATTAATGCATTTAAAGCAACCGGATAATCATGAGGCCAAAGAAATAGAAGGATATGCTAATGGTGTGAGAATAGGGAGTTTGTGTTGAGCAGACCCTAGCATGGGCGGTGTGGTCTGAATGATCTGTTCCTATGCTGTAGGTTGTGTGCTATCCTTCAGGAAAGTGCACTCTGTCAATACTGGGTGTGTTTAGTATGATGGCTCTGTGTTAAATAAACTGCCTGGTTTAACACCGGAAAAGTAGCTTTTTTGGCAAGTTGTACTCTGAACCCATCAGCGTGGGAGGTCAGTTGTAGGATCTGGGATTGTGTTGAGGGGTAGAAGGAGTTTCTGTTTATACTGTCCATGCCATTTTACCCGTATGAAACTGAGCAGGGTCCGCTGTGTGCTCATTTATAGATTGTTCTTCCAGTCGAGTGGTTTCCATTGAATAAACCAAGTGTCGGTGATTATTTTCACATGGCCTACAACATCATCACACCTTTCCTCCTCCTGAAGGTAAGGTCTTTGTTGTCTATCGCAGAGGTTGCAATGGGGTCTCTGTGTCCTTATTGAATCCATCCCTTTGGCTTAACGATAGAGTGCAGAATCGAGTGTGGATCTGAGCCCAGAGGAGCTCAAAGCTTCCAACGTTGATTCCTGACCTCTTTTGTTGCATTAGATTTTTGCATCGAGGGTTAACCATAGAGATGCCATGACTTAATGAGTTGGCTTCCCCAAAAGCATCCAGGAATGAGATCCTTGTGTTAGGGAGAAGAACTGGCAAGCCTGCTAAAAATTTAACGTGGCAAACATTACATTTCTCCCAAGCATTTCTGCTATGTGACCAAACCCTGGCTGTATCTGCCTTTACCAATTGGTCTTTTAGGAGGGAGACCACCCAGCCATGTGCTGACTGCCTCCCACTGAATTTAAAGCTCATGGGAGGGTAGGGACCAAGAACTGACTTTTCTATGTTGCCATGCATAGTTGAATAGCTTGTTGTGATTCCCACAGTCCAGGCTTATACCTGAAACCATCCTGAATCAAACAATCTGTCTGTCCTCCAGTCCTAATTTCTCAGGATCAGGCCGTGGCCTTGTTTGGATTGGTCTGTACACAAATTGCTGTGGTTTGCCATTGCCTTCTGCAAGGTGGCTGACCAGGAAACTCTTCCTCTTAACTACCTGCCATCAGGCCTTCCTTGGCTAACAAGTCCTGGTGTGCGATCGAACCCAGGGCTTCTAGCACTGAGGTGGGGATCCAACCCCAGGTGCCACAAGACCTACTGCATCAAACTGTAGCCCTTTCAGAAAAGAAGGGAGAATAGAGAAATGGTGGCAGAAACAGACACGTTGAAGATCCGGAAGTGGTGATCATAATTCATTGAGCTCTCAAGGGCTTATTTCCAGAGTATATTAGTGTTCTCTCAATCTTAAATATTTTTGCAGCTTATCGAGCGGTCTCCCAAGACACTCCCTATCTCAGCGGTGTACATCTGTATAATAACATTTGTTATGGGAGCAAGCATTCACCTTGTTGGCGATTCAGTGAATCATCGACTGATTTTAAGTGGTTACCAACTCCACTTGTCTGTGCGTGAAAACCCAATTATGAAGGACTTGAAACCAGAAACATTGGTAAGAGCCATCGCATTGATAAACGTTTTCAATCTGATCAAACCCATGCAAGTTTTGCTTGGTTCAGGATACAGGGATATGCAGTGGGTTTGACATTTGTCTTTTTAATCTCTTTCATATGCCTGATTTTCATTGCTCCATTATTGGCAGCTGTGCCTTCAGCATTCAGGATCTGAGGTTTTTGATCATGTGTTAATTCTTTAGGACTTATTACAAGCTTAAACCAGACTTAGTAACTGTTAAATTGTTTTATTGTTACACAGTGAATGATGGTAAGTCTACAGACCAACATGCTCCGAGCAGTCCAAGGTCCAACCTCTTAGCAGAACATTAGGATGTGGTACTCTGATTGTGTTTGCTTTGTGAAGTGCCTTTGGATGGTTTACTGCATTAGCGGTGCTACACAAATGTTGATAAACTGAAAGTAGCTGCTTGTTGTGGCTTTAAGGCACCAATTGGGTGAGGAGGGTGTGTGGGAAAAACAGAATGCTGAAAATTCCAGGGGATGAGACAGAATCCGTGGAGAGACGAACAGAGTTAACTTTCCTCAGACTTTTCAGAACAATGAAAATTCACCAGTTTGAAATGAGTTAAGTCTCAGTCCAGTTCTGTAGAATGTCCTGAGTGCATGACTGCAACTAATTAGCATTAATCTAGGTCCATAATCTCATTTAGGTGCATCTCTGGGTGATTGGTGAAGGACATGAAAAATGGTATTATTGGAGGTGCTCTCCTGAGATGGGTACAGGGCCAGGGAAGAGGGATCTTCACGATGCACTGCTCCAGGCTGCTCTGGAACTGGTCTGCCTGAGTACAAAATTCACTCAACCTGGCTATTGTACCGAAGAAACACAGCTGGGCTATTGTCAAAGTTTATCATTTCTCATTTAAACCCACAGATTGACTCGTTTGAACTGCTGTATTACTATGATGAATCCTTGGGCCATTTAATGTGGTAAGTAAATTGAAAGAAAGGTAGCTTCCTATCCACCACTGTACAAGAGGCAGTCAGAATCAGCTCTGATGTGTTTCCCCAGCACAGACACCCCGTCAGTGTTCCCAGCTATTGACAGGTTCCTCCTGGGTCAGCGAATGGGTAGTGAGTGGGCCTCCTCCACCAGTGACATCTGGACCTGCTTGAGAATTCGGTTGCTCTCTCTGGTCACTCAACGCCTCAGTCCTACACATGAAGGATGATAACTGGGTCATTTGGTTCCTCTTTGAATCAATTCCTTCAGGACTCGGCTAGTCCCATAACTGGAGAAAAGCTGGGGGTGAGTAACAACTGAAAGGTAATAACCTCTGGTCAGACCGTGCCAATTGTGTGTGAGACTGTGTGCTCAGTATATTGAGTTTATCCTCCGATTCTACGTTCCCTGCAGCATCAAAGAGGCTACAATACGGTCTTTCCAACTGTTCCATTGGAAGCAAGATATTGTTTAAAATGCCTGATCTTGTTTCAATGCAGTATTGCTGCAGGAAATTGAATAGAGCAACATCTATACAGATTCATTAACGTTTGATGACTGTGTGAGAAACTTGGGCTTAACTATCAAGTGAAGCATTTCATTTAAGCTTATGAGCTGGCACTTGGCCCTCTTCACCCTCCATTAGGTTTGTTGTTCTCGGACTCTCGTCCATCCTCCACCACCACCACCGCCCAACCTCCCCCCGCCCCAGGTTATTATTCCTTTCTTCCTCTGGGATCCAGTTTCATAGCAGCAAAAGAACACATCTTGTAATATAGATAACATTGTGGTGTGCATGGAGATGAATACACACCAACCTAGTGAAGTATGATTGCATGTAATATGTTATCTATTTGGGGGATGTTGGTGGTGCTTCATGTGTAATCTATTATCTAGATTTTGTTTTATTTGAAGTGAAGTCTGTAATTTAGGCTTTTTTCTTGAAAGTGCAGTCCTATTCTCACTTTCTAAAAAAAAAATGAAGATCTCCTCTGGGAACATAAAGGACAAACACTTTTTTTTGTATTACCTGTTATTTAGCTTTAATTGGCTTCTTTGCTCATCTGTCTAATGCAACAGTTATTTTGTTATTAGTTACTGCTGGAGTTCAGATGACCATGAGTTGGGGGGTGGGTGGGGTGCGGTCCTTGGAAACTGCTGCATTTCTATTAGGAGTTCAGTGGGAGGGACTCACCTTTGACCCTGGTCTGTGCTAAATGAGTTTATCCCCTTGATCTCAAAGTCCTTGGATCGAGAGGGGAAAAGAATAGTTGTCCAGTATTCACCCTTAATTGCTGGAAAGTGTGTGTATTGTCACCACCGTATTCATGTTTGTGAATGCATGTCTCACTATCTTTTGTGCATACTGAATGAAATTTGGGTCAGATCAGCAAAAATATGCTGTAATCTGTAGAGTCATAGAGATGTACAGCGCGGAAACAGACTCTCTTGGTCCAACTCATCCATGCTGACCAATTATCCTAAATTAATCTAGTCCCACTTGCCAGCATTTGGCCCACATCTCTCTCAACCCTTCCTATTCACGTAACAATCCAGATGCCTTCTAAATGTTGTAACTTTACTCGCCTCCTCCACTTCCTCCAGCAGCTCATTCCATACATGCACCACCCTCGTGTTTGAAGATCCTGCCATGACTGCTAACTTGTGTGAAAACATGCTCCATGCCAGGAGATTTCCGACTTCGTAAAGCAGTTTGATGTTGCAAAGAACCTTTACTACGACTTGATCCATGATGTCTGAGTAATCATTGCACCTATTTGTGAGGCTGCAGTTCAAGCTGTTACTTTGGTTCTGGGGTATGAAGAAAAGCTGGGTTGACTAATTCCTTGTGTCGATTTTTGTTTCAGGTATGTTCCGTTCTTCATCATTTTCAGTCTGTATTTCACTGGGTGCTTTACTCGCTGTAGCAGAGACAGCAGAATGCCCCTATCAGCATGGCTGCTGCTTGGGCCAAGTAGCCTATACTACTGGTAAGAGACAAAGTGCTTAACAAAGAATAACCACAACTTTGTCTTTCAGTCTATGGGAATGCCGTGTTCGGGGGGGCAAATCCCACTCTGGGGCTTGAGCATGAAAATCAAGACCCTCCCCATCAGCACAGACCTGAAGGAATGTTGCGCTGTCAAGAGGTGACAATAAACTGAGGGCTACTATGGTGGATCCAAAAGATCCCATGACACTGTTTCAAAGAAGGGAATATGATGGATGATATTTACCCTTCATTCAAAAACGTGGAAACACATTATCTGGTGATTACCCCTTTTTGGGATCTTGCTGTATGCCGTTTAGCTGCTGTGTTTCCAATATTAGAACAGTGGCTACACCATGAAAGTACTTAATTAGCCGTGAAGCTGGAGACACCTGCCAATCCAGAAAAGCACCGAGTTAATTCCAGATTTACTTTAGTCTTGAATATCACCATGATCAGTTCTGGACTATGTGTACAAGAATGAGGTACTAAGGTGCTGGCTGAGTCATTCAAAATTGCCAGCCTAGCCCAGAGAATGATGGTTCATAAACTCATGTTTGCAGTTCAAATTCAGTTTGTTTTGACTAAATAATTCTAGAAATGAAAACAGCCTCCATTTAAGGAAAAAGATCATAAGTGTCCACTGTTCACGAATAGTTCAACCTAAAAGCAAACCTACTGGCTTCACCCACTCTGGCCTATATGTGACTTCAGTCCCATCCCTTTTTAATTTTTCACTGAAAAGGCCTGGCAAACCACTGGCTTATATTGACCTTCTAACCTGGTGCTGCCCAGAAGGTGGGTCACTACCACCTTGTCAGGGCATCCAGAGATGGGTGATGAAGGTCAACCTTTCCATTGGTGTCCATATCCCAGGAATGAACGTGTGGAGGAAAAAAATATAGTTACTGATTCCCCTGGTTATACAGTAACTTCACAGTTTGCACATCCTGATAGTCTCTTGGTCAAATAGTATGCCGAGGTTCACAGTTGCAGTATCCAGACTAACAGCATAGTCAGTTCACTGAATACTGTCAGTGTTGCAAGATAGCTGTGTGTGCAGAAGATCCATTCAACTCCCCTTAATTCTCCTGAAGGATCTTCAGTCTCCAGTACCAGCATCCAGTTGATCCTTAAATGATTCCAAGGGCTTTTCTTCTACTTGTTTTGTTGGGCTGAAATTTATTCCCATCAGAGACCATAAAATATACGAGCAGAATTAAGCCAGTTTGCCCACTGACTCTGCTCTGCCATTCGATCATGGCTGATATGCTTCTCAACTCCAGTCTCCTGCCTTCTCCCCATAACCCTTGAACCCCTGACTAATCAAGAAACTTTCTATCTCTGCCTTAAAGACACTCAATGATCCGACCTCCACAGCTCTCTGCAGCAATGGGTTCCACAAAATAACCACCTTCTGGCTGAAGAAATTCCTTCTCATACCAGTTCTGAAGGGTCGTCCCTTCACTCTGAGGCAATGCCACCTCAGATCTCAGTCTTTCATAATAGTGCCGACCTCTTCTCCACATCCAATCTATTCAGGCCTCTCGGTATCCTATAAGTTTCAATGAGATTCCCCCCTCATCCTTCTCTACTCCATAGAGTAGAGATTTGGAGTCCTCAACTTCTCCGCATAAGACCAGCCCTTCATCCCCAGGATCACTGTCTTTTGAACTTCCTCTGGACTCCCTGCAGTGCCAGCACATCCATCTTTAGATACAGGGTCCAAAACTGTTCACAGTATTCCAAATGCAGTCTGACCAGCCTCAGCAGTACATCTCTTGTATTCTAGACCCCTCAAAATGTCACAGGGACAGCTGCAAAACCAGTTACAGTCAGTCTGTTTACACCTGTACACTGCTATCACCCCGAGACAGTAATCCTCCTGTTCTCTCCTCCCCACTCCCCCAACCATTTATATGTGAAGAAGAATCCTTGGTATCCATCCTAAATGTATTACTTGTCCTAATGTCACAATTGCATTTAAACCACATTATAATCTGCTACGTTCAGAAGGGGAAGGGATAAATGATGGGGAGTGGAATTTATTTGATGTCCTTTGTAAAATTCTCAGGACCTTGTTATAAGTGAAGGTTACAGTTTAGCTTTTGACCTTTTTCTCTAGGTATCTGGTGACTGAGGGTCAGATCTTCGTCCTCTATATCTTTACCACCTTTGCTATGATTGCAACTGTCATGCACAACAAACGTAAAGGACTGGTGATGGACAGTAATGGCCTCTTTTTATTTTACTCTTTCTGCATTGCCCTGGTTCTGATCTCTGCTTGGGTCGCCTTCCTGTGGAACGACAAAATTCTCCGAAAAAAGTACCCTGGAGTCATGTACGTTCCAGAGCCTTGGGCGTATTATACCCTGCACATCAAGAAAACACTGTAGCTTATTTTCTGGGTCTTGCTTCTGAAGCCGTTTTAGTCAACTCTCCAACTTCCCCCAAGTAACTGATAGTTGAGCATTCCTTTCGGGTGCCGTTGTACTCTCCACATTTCAATTCGCAGTGGTTTCAGATAGGCATCGATGCAAATAGTGGCAGTATAGTTTGTGCCAAGTGATGCAAGGCACCCCATCCCCCACCAGGAAGCAGCTTTGTGCTGCTTTCAAGTTTGCACTGACTGCAGTATAACTCCAGTTTAGCCCAAGTGCTCTGGGCAATCCACAGGATCGTCTTCTCACCCCACCCTTTAAGAGGCTCACGAGAATATCTGATGGAGTCTTTCAAAACCCAAGAGAGAGTAAGCCACAGCCCCTGCTGCATTTCTGCTAACAGTAGGTCAGATGGGAGTACTCCAAAAAAGTCAGCACAAGACAGATGGGCCCAATGGTCATTTTCGATGCTGT